TATGATTCACAGTAGGTTAACGTATTAAAATAATTTAGATCAAGTTTTTAATACTACCAATTAAATAAATTTTATTTTATGAAAAAGTTGACACTGTCATTTATTAAATTTTATTATTTTACCTTTTCAATGAAGAAATTTTTTAAAATTTGAATAATATTATTATATAATTTAATTTAGAAATATTTTTTTATAATAATCTCTTTTATATAAAACAAGAAGTTAAAAATTTATCATAAAAATTTATATTGTTCAAATAAATGAATGCACATATGAGAATGAATATATATATATATATATATATATATATATATATATATATATATATATCTTAGGAAAGAAATATTTACATCAACATAAATATTTATTTGATAAAATTAGCATAATATATATAATATGTATATTTTAATTAAGTTGATGACAAAAATTGTTATTTTTTATTATAATCAAAGTATTATTTATTATCTTCTATTTTGTTAAATTAAGCTATAAAAAATGATAAATATATTAAATTTACATATAAATTATAACTTACAATGTGTAAGATTTTATTTAGTTTAGTTTAATTTTAAATAGAAGAACAAAAATATAATAAATTTTGTAAAATATGATTAACGATGGGTTAATATATTAAAATAATTTAAATAAATAATTTTAATTACTAATTAAATAAACTTAATTTTATGAAAAAATTGACACAATTATTTATTAAGTTCTATTATTTAATGATTTGAAAAAAATTTATTTGGTTAGAGGTTGAAAAAATTATCAAAGCAATGGAAGGTCATTAAGAGACTACACCTATATACAAATTGTAGAAGATTCAATGTTCAGTTTAGTAAAAAATAAGTTCATAGCATATGAGCTCAATTACAACAACTGAACTAGTTGAACAATACCGTAGACTTCTATATTTTTTTAACATTGGATCAAAAAGTTATTTACCATGAAATCATGAGTTTAGTCTTAAATAAATCTGATTGTTTTTTCTTCTTATAAGGATATGGAGGAATAGGAAAAACATATATTTGGAATATAACATAAAGCAAAGAAGTTTGAAAGCTGATTTATTAATCAACACAAGTCTTATCATATAGGATAAAGCCTCATGCTTAATAAATTTTGTTTTGAAGCTCTAGATAGTATGTTGAGAGATTTAATGAGAGTGAAAAATTCAAATAGTATGAATGAACCTTTTAGTTAAAAAGTTGTTGTATTGAGAGGAACTTTCAGACAAGTACTTTCGGTCATTCCAAAAAGTAGTTGTAAAGATGTTCTTTTCGCAACTGTGAACTTTTCTTATTTTTTGGCTCATTGCAAGGTGCTCAAGTTGACAAAAAATATGAGATTATCGACATCAATAGAAAACACTTCTGCTATATTTGAAACTAAGTTTTTTGTAGATTAGATTTATCAAATAAGCGATGGACAAATGAGAGTTAACGATGATGAAGATTGTACATTTAAAATTCTAAAAGAGTTTCTCATTATTGAAAAGGATAATAGTCTTATGCATTTAGTAGAATTTGCATATCCAAGTTTAGTCCATAATTGTGTTGATTTTAAATTCTTTGAACATAGAGCAATAGTAGAGCCTACTTTAGAAAGTGTTGAGAAAGAATATTTAAGTTTTGATTCAACTTGCTCATCTAATGAAAATTCTGAAACAGAAGGTGAGTGATTTATTATTGAATTTTTGAATAAAGTTAAGTGTTCAAGATTTACAAACCACGTATTAATTTTAAAGATAGGTGTTCCAGTTATGCTTTTGGGGAATATAGATCAAGCAAATGAATTATGCAACAGAACTAGATTGATTATTAATCAATTGGGAAGAAACATAATGGCAGCCACTAGCCACTGTTGTTGTTACAGGAAGAAATATGGGTGATAAAATATTCATTCCAAGAATGAATTTAGTTCATTCAGATTCTTGGTTACCTTTTAGGTTCCAAATAAAACAATTTCCATTAGCTATTTGTTTTGCAATGACTATTAATAACAGTCAATGACAAACACTTTCTAATATTGGTCTTTACTTGCTAAGGCCAGTGTTCTCTTGTAGTCAATTATATGTTGCTGTTTCAAGAATGAAAAAGAAAAATGGATTGAAAATATTGATTTTAGATGAAGATAAGAAGCCAACCCAATTTATATCAAATGTAGTATTGAAAGAAGTTTTTGACAAGATATAAGAAGATATTTAAATATTACTTAATGTTATTTAGATTTTGTTTACTATATTTCTTATATATTTTGTTGTTATAATGTGAAAATGATTACTAGACGGAATACAACTTTTACACAAGAATTAACAGGAATATATTCATTAAGGAGTTATGTATTAAAGTTATCTATATGTTATCCAACTTATATTTATTGAAATAGTTAGAAATAGTAAGTATTATTACCTTATTTAATTATTTTTCACATAAAAATAAGGAAACAACAAAGTTTACATTAATAATTAAAATAATTTTTATACTGACTAATTACAAATTGTAAAAATAAAAGTTAACAAGAATTCACTCAATATAGATGTGTCTAATATCAAATTTATTTTATTTATATTATTGTAAAATAATACTATCAAAAATTACTTTATTTAAATAGTAAAAATTAGTTGATATATTTATATTATTAAATTAATTTTTTTGTCAAAGAGTGAAAAAATAATTATATTTATATTAATTATGATAAATAGCAGATAATCACTCATGTATATTTGATCTGTTATATGTTTATGTGACAAATATATGTTGTATAAATATATGTTTTAAGTCAAAATTATCAACAAAATATTTATTATTGTATTATATATTATATATTATTAATAATTTTTTTTTTGTTTTATGGCAAAATAACAACACTTATTTTAATAATCATAATAATCTTATAATACAATAAAATTAATGATATTAATGTCTTATTTTAAATATTAGTGATATTAATATAAATTTTTTAAATTAATTTTTTTTATTAAAGAGTAAGAAAATAGTTACATTTACATTAATAATGATAAATACCATATAACGATTACTGTATATTTGATATGTTATGTTTTTATTTGACAAATTTTTGATATATAAATATATGTTTTAAGTAAAAATTATCAACAAAATATATATTATTATATTATATATCATACATTATTAACCAATAATCTTTTTTTAATAATAATTTTTTTTATTTTATGACAAAATAACAACGTTTACTTTAATAATCACAATAATTTTAGTTTTATTTATGTTATTCTAAAATAATATGATAAAAATGTATTTTTTTTGAATAATAAAAATAATTAATATATTTATATTATTAAATTAATTTCTTTAACAAAGATTGAGAAAATAATTATATTTATATTAATAATGATAAATAACATTAATCACTGATGTATATTTAATATGTTATATGTTTATATGATAAATATATGCAAATTAAATTATTAAATAGTTTAAATTTATTTTATAATTTTTTAATAATAAAAATTTTAAAATTTAATAGTATAAATTATTCCTTGCATTGCACATGGTCCACACTAAGTATATATATATATATAAGGTTAATATTTGTGTAAGTTTAAAACTTCTTACACTCGATCTGAATCTTTCATTTAACTTATATTTAAGAGGTTATAATTTATTATTTCACTAATCATAGTAAGATTTAAATTAAATGAAAGACTCAAATCGAGTGTAAGAGTTTTTAAACTTATACGTGTATTAGAAAATCCTTCCTCATATATATACGTATATCATTAATTAAGTCTTAGTTGGAAGCTTGGTATTACCCATGTGTCACAATTTTTTCTGTAAAACTCTTTCGGCATGTTACAATTGTCCTAAAAGTAATCGTTGATAAATATTCAATGCATTTTAATTAATACTATATTTTGTTGGTGTGTATTATATTCAATTTTTTAATTACTTAAAAAATGTATTCAATATTTGTATAATTTTAACATAACTAGATCAATACCACGTGTAAAAACACAATAAGAAAATTGAAAAAATATATATAAAAATGAAATGCAAATGTTTAAAATTTTTAAAAATCATAGAAACTAAGATCTAACACTCAACAATGAGTGGGAAACAAACTTACGTGAGATTGACGTGCGACAATTGTTGGACAAATTTAACGTAATATATACATATACTTTTATTTTCACTAAAATATTTCCTTAAACAATGTCTCAAGAGTGAAGACCCTAATTATCATTACTATTTTTGAATTATTTATAAATTTTTTCAGCCCATTAGTAAAATGGCTCAGATGTAGCTTCAGAAATTGTTTGGTATACATGGAGGTGAAATTTGTTTCCATAAACCCAATGTGGAAAAAAATGAATGTGAAAACCAGGATTGACATTTATGCTTACGTTGTTGGTAAGTGGGGGAATCAACATGGTGAGGTAAAAAAGCAATATCCATTAGTAAAGAGTTTGTTGCAGCCTTGGCTGACACTTGCAAATTATGCTTTTTATATATAAGAAAATATTAATGAGTGTTCTTATGACATTAGTTAAAAAATTAAATTTTTAATTAAAAATGTAAAAAAAAGGTTTTAATAAACTTTTATTTATCAATTATTTAAGATATGTTTTAAGGATAGTGATCAACAGGACCCTTATAATATAAGATAGATTCGATAATGTTTATTTCATATGCAATAAAAGAGTCTGAAATAGATGGAAGTAAGAGAATAAAAAGTAAAAAACATAAATGATAATATATATATATATATATATATATATATATATTTAAAAATTAGTGTTTTTTTGGTAAACAAAATGAGTGTTAAAATATCAAAATCATTAGCATCTCGATCCAAAAGAGAAAAAAGAACAACTCTTTAAAGCATGGTCAAACTCTATACAAATTGGGCTGTGGCTGTATGGGCCATCTTTCAATCACACTTTTTTTAAATAAAAAACAGATCCGAACCAGCCCAATAAGTTGAAAGGAAGAATGATAAAAAAAAAACTGTTTCAAAAACCCTCCAATTCCAATCGCTGGAGTTTATTTTTTCCCTCTATGAGAAAGAGAGTGGTTCCGAGCATGGACGGGTTTCTTCACTGAAGTGTAATCTGCACTGTTTCGTAGTCTCGCACCTCGTTTCTGGGTTTGGGAAAATATCACGTACTTCACAAATTGTTTATCTCTGACAAATGGATAGCAGGCTCAACGGACCCACCTTTCCGTCGAGCTCCGGCGGCGGCACCGCCGTCACAAGATCTCCGTCCCCCACGCTACAGCCTAACTACAGTAGCCGATTAGTTCAGGTACTCACTTACCCTCTCAATTTTAACTGCTGCGAGCTACTTCGTAAACCCTAGTTGTCAATTACTAACACACTTTTTGGTTGGACATTTTGTATTCCCCAACTTTTTTCCTTTCACTGAGAGAGATTTTATTAATGTTTGAATGATGATAAGCTTCTGCTGTTTCTTACGTCATGTTTGCTTTATTTTGTTACCTGTGCGTTCAAGTCTAATTCGCCTTACTCTTTTGGATTCTTCCATTGGAATCATGAGCTCTGGCTATCACTTCACTTTGTTTGCAGACATGCCTTTCAACTTTCAGTTTTTACACGGACACGACTTTACCCAATTGACTTCTATTATAATTCGCACCTACTACCGCAGTTGAGTTTCGCCCATGTGGCAGTTTTGAGCTTTATGTTGCAAATGGAGATCAGTGTAGTAATTTTAGAGCACTTTGAGAAGCTCTTGTTCGGTAAACCTACTAAGAAATTGGACACTTATCCTTTAATGGACATGTTCATAAGTTTATGAAGCTTTTTACGTTTTGGTCCTTAAAAGTGTATATTATTTGTTGTGGGTTTGTGGCGAGGAAATTTGTTAGGGTGAGATAATGAGCTGTGCATTAAGTCTGATGATATGGGTACCTGTCATGTGCTGAAGCTATTCATAATTTTGATTTTATGAATCATGCATCCTAATAATCTATGTCAAAGGCTTCATTTGGCTAGCATTTCTGTCTGAATACTTATTGTACATGTTCAGATGCTGCATAAAAGAACTGTATTTGTGCTGTAAATGAGTTAAGTTTAATGTTACTAATGCAGAATAATAGTTATCCTGTCATATTTGTCAAATGAATAATTATTATATTGAGAAAATAATAGAAAAGAAATGGCTTGTGATGTTTGATTTCAGGAAACATTAGAACACTTGGCAGCCATTGACCTGATTGAGTTGTGCAAAGAAGCCAAAGTTGAGCACTGCCGAGCAACTAGAGACTTGAGAAGCTGTGGTCGATATGTCCACCATGTCTTGAATTCATGTGGACACGCTTCATTATGTGAAGAATGTAGTCAACGGTGTGATACCTGTCCAATTTGTAGAATCCCAATTTCAAAAAGTGGTGCTAGACTGCGTCTCCGACTTTATTATGAGTGCATAGAAGCTGGTCTTATTTCAAAAAGGTGTGATGAGAGATTTCAAGAAATAGAAGATGGGGAGAAACAACTAACTGCTGATGTGCAACGCCTTTATTCTTTGTTTGATGTTACGCTTGAGAATAACATGGTTTCTTTAATTTGCCACTGTATCCTTTTCTATGCCAGTCATTTTGTTGGCATATTTAATTTTTATCATCAATTTAATTATTGAAATTAAAAAATTAAATATATGTAATTGGTTAGTAAAGTTACGAGATGAGATTTAGTGCTTCTTTAGTTTCACTTATTTTAAATAAATATATATGTCAACTTTCAGAGAGAGCTTTTAAAAAATAAGCAGTTATTCCCCTTTAAATAAGCTCATCCAAACATGCTATTAATCTTATTATTATCGTTATCACCTTAGAGAAACCAAGATTGTCTTATTTGTTCTATTGTTGTGTCATGTCTCGTTGTATCTACACTTCGAATTATCTTAACAAGAAATTTTACAGACATCACAGATGTATGTATGGATGAAACTGCTGTCTCCAGTGATCCTGTCATAGCATTTTTGTTGGATGAAGTAGTAGTGAAGGATTGGTGCAAGAGGACATTCAAAAACATTGTAACTGAACTTCAAGGAATTTGTATCCTCAAACCTTGTTTTATTGTTGATATCTAAAGCTAATCATTAGTATGACCTTTTTATCATACTCATTGATATTTATGTTCCCTAACAATTTTCTAGACAGTATGGACGTTTTTGGAATGAAAGAGAGATTGAGTTTACTGCTAAAATTTTCATTATACTTGAAGGGCATATCAAATGTGCTAGATATTTTGGAGTCATCCTTTAAGGGTACCCTTTCAGCACAGCTTCATGATTTGCACCGGCTCCAAGAGAGCATATTGAAGACAAAGCAGGTTAAGTATTACAACATTTTGTGTTCAACTTCAATGGAGTAATGGCATAACTGTTTATGATTTTTACTTTAAGATTTGATTTTTGACACATTTCTTGCTTGGCTGATGTGCTGTACATCAAGATAAATTTATGTTATTTTCTTCTATTTTAAATTGTACTTTCGCTACTGTTTCTTGTGTTGTGTTCAAACATTGTTGTCTGTTTTTTCTTGCATTAGATTTATTCCCCAGTCTTTAGAAGTATGATGACGATTGGTAACCTTTGTTATCGTAGTTCACAGCATTGTTGTATGTTGTTGTTTGTAAAAGGGGTATTTGTAGAGTGGCTGATATTTGTCCTTATACTTACAATCATATTGCTTGTGAAGCCTGCTTTGGTTGACTGGTTGTACTCTTTCTCTATCTGTCTCCCTATATCTCAGAAGTATGGAGTTCCAAAAGATAGGTACCTTATTGCAATCTTCATTCTGGCGATTGATTTGTTTTTTTTAATTTGTTCTGTTCAGCATATGGACATTATTATTTGGTGTACAAGACATCAATTTTTGGAGAATGTGAGATCGCGTTTCACTGATAGTTCATCATGGGCGTCAGTTGTTCGCAAGCGGAAATCAGAAGCAATTAGACGTGCTTGGCCTGATGCAATAAATCAATCTGTGGAGTTATCAGGACATGATGGATCTCTATTTATTGAAGATGCATTGAATAATCTTGATTTGGAGGAGGGGCTTATGCATGAAATTGGAGAGGGATTAGAAATTGCCTCCTTGCAGAAGGATGGGGCATTGTTTTTCAGGTCTGATACTGATCAGGCACTGGATTACTATCCCTTCAAAAATCTTCGTGCTGCTGCTGACTTATTGTTTTTACATGGAAGCTCTGATATGGTGATTGCAAAACATGCAATTGTATCCTTTTACCCTTACCTTTTATTGTGGGCATGAAACTGTGGATGATTCTATCTGTCATAGTTATTATTTAGAGCATTACTTGTTTCATTCCTTAACATCTATAGTTTCTGTATTATCTGTATGATCGCCACTGGACAATTCCTGATGAAGAATGGAGACACGTACTTGAGGACTTTGCAACTACATTTAGTATTAGCAGGCACTCATTACTTGAGTCTTTGACTTTTTACCTTCTGGATGATCACACAGAGGAGGCTTTACAGGTAACATCAATATAATATCATGCTCAATGTCTTGAGGCATGTTTACCCTAGTCTTCAAAATCTATTTTTATCATGATTGCTTTATTGATTTTCCTTTTAGCGGCTGGCTAACAATAAGCATCCTATTCATCTAGGAGAAAATGTAGGCACTATTTGGGTAATAATTATGTTGGAATATTAGATGTGATGCTGAAAATAAAGAGGTAAAAGTATAAGAATTGTAAATGTTATTTGGGTTATTCTTTTATCATTTTTATTTAAATGGGATGTGTTCTTGTCTTTTTTTACAAAGTAAAAGGTCCAGGATGTTTGTTAAGTGTCTAGTGGCATTTAATAATAGCACCAAGAGTTTCCCATTCCCAGTATAGGAAATGGGCTAAAAAATGCAGCTTGGATTCTGCAGTGTGAAAGTTTTGTAGCATGTTGGTACTGGATGTTAATGCTAAACTGTTCCTTTTCCTTTTAGAGTAATATAATTTATTATTCTGTTAGGAAGCTTGTCGCCTTCTTCCTGAAATATCTGGACCAGCATCACACCCTAAAATTGCTGAAGTACTGTTAGAAAGGGGTAGTCCTGATACAGCTCTCATGGTTTTGAGGTGGGCTGGGCGTGATGGTGGACCGCAGATGACTTCAATCAGAGATGCTGTCACTGCAGTACGAGTGAGGATTGAGTGTGGCCTTCTGACTGAAGCATTTATGCATCAGAGAGTTCTCTGCATCAGAGTTAAGGAACAGAATTTCAATAAAGGAGCATCTAGGACTACTTCTGAAAAACTAAAAGGCCAATGCAGTAATTGGATGGAGTGGGTGGAGGTCTTGGTGACTGAGCTTTGTTGCCTCTGTATTAGGAGAAACTTGGTGGATAGGATGCTAGAATTGCCATGGAATTCTGAGGAAGAGAAGTATATACACAAATGTCTTTTGGATTATGCAATTGAAGACCCTCTAAGGACGTCAGGAAATCTACTTGTTGTGTTTTACATTCAGGTACTCAAGTTCAATAGCTGGTTCCGCATCAAAAGTTGGTGCTACTGGTTTATTGATCTTGTTACTTCATTTTTCTTATGATCTTTTTAGCTTTAACTTTGGAATCTTGTAAATGTTAATTAGCTACCCAATGTTGAGTTCTGTTCCATATGATACACCAAGGTTGTCCTCCTAAGTCCTATCTTACTTAGCATATCCTTGATAACAAAACATTTCCTCCTCCATCTATCTTTAATATCTACCATCTTCATGTCTTTGATTTCCGGATACTGACTCCCCATCCAAGGGAAAATATAATTCCTTCATTCTAACTTGTCCTTCATGATCCACTGTAGACCACGAAACATCTTCCAAAATTGCATGCAGTCTCCTTGCTGAACTCATATCTGTATTGGCTTATTGTGCAACTTGCTTCCTGGATTTTCTTGATGTGATCCTCTATAATCTTGCATTGATGGCCATCTCATCCAAATTTTTATTGGAGCAAAAATAAGTGGATATGATTGATAAATCCTGATCTTTACTTCTTTCCTGCATAGGTGTGATATCTTATTTCTAAACCTGCTCAGTAGATCATAGGATGTGCTGTTAACTTCAATAATAAAGAGAACTTTGTATATTATATTCCTGGTCCTATTGGGTTATCATTCCTGGTATAAATAAGTTGAGCTTCATTTTGCTTCTTAAAATGTGTCAGGGTAGTTTAGCATAATTTTAATGATAATATTTTATTTTGAGGAAAATGTGAAAGAATTTCTGGCTTATATATTTTTCTGTGTCTCAGCGCTACAGATACTCAGAAGCATATCAAGTTCATATTAAACTTGAAAAGGTGGAGCAAGACTGCATTTCAAAAGGTTCTGTAAGTCAAGAATTTCTACCAAGATTAGAAAAGGCTATTCACTGGAGAGCCAGTTTGATTGTAAGTGATTTAAAATCTTTAATTTTGAAGCAAATGTTTTCTTCCAGGAACTTTGAACCCTTGAATCATGTCAGGCATTAATTATTTTTCTTTCTAGCAGTCTCTGTGTTTCCTGTGCTGTGTGCTCCTTTTTTTTAAAAAATTAAGACTTTTAGTTAGCTTGTTTGAAGAAAATTGTTGTTCTTGGATTGAATTTGTTGGGCATTTTATGTTTGAATAAAACAGAATAGATGCCTGGAGTTGTTGCCAGAAGTTGAGCAACAGCAACTGAAGAGCGGAAACTTGATTGAGGGTGCTGTTACTTCTCATGAAGAAGTTGAAATTCCTGATAAATTTGATGTTTCTCAGATTCAGGATTCCTGGTCAACCAGTTTATTGATTCCTTCATCTGGAAATCCTTCCCTCACACTGCATAGAGATCATACAAATGGTTTGTTGAGTTCATCAACATTAGGAACTTCTGCCAAAATAGGCATGTCATTTCCCCCTATTGGCCCTGAGCTTGGTAATCTTGGTTCTTCATCATATCATCATGATGGGTTATTTACCAATAACAAGAGGATTCCAAGTCATCAAGGTAAAATTGGCAAAATTCTTAGGTATGAAAACACTCCAAGTCCAAGGAATCGCAGGATCCGTTTCATGAATGGTTCACCTCTGAAGGGATTTAACAGGACATCACCAAGTAATTCCCAAGAAAGTACACAGGAGAAAATCTCGCCAGTAGTTGAACGAAATATGCTTTTTGGCCACAATCAAACTATCAGCCCTATGTACTCCTGGAAGGAAACAGCTAATCCTGTCACTAGATCTATGTTCAGCTATCCTAAAGAATTTGCAAATGATCACCCAAATATATCTAGTAGGAATGCCCAATTGCTAAAAGATGATAGTGGTTGGAATATGGGTTCCACTAATGATCCAATGGATGTTTCTCAGAGGTAAGAATCTAGTTATCCATTTGTTTTGTCTATTGCTTCTTTTATTGATATTACTTGTTTTGTATAAATTGTGTATAAGAATGTCCCTGTGCATTAATTTAATGCTTTTAAATATTTGCTGGAAAGGGTATAATATGTGTAGTCTGAATCCTTGTGCACTTCATTTCTTTAGCCTTATAGAGAAGAAATTAAATACTGAAGAAAACATGAATGGTGGACCTAGATGGAGATCTGATGAAACTAGTGATGGGGAAGAGGATGTGGGTCTGGAAAGAGCTATGGATATAGGTTATTATGCAACTCCAACACGGAAAACTAGACGAAGCAGAGTTGGCAAGAGATGAAAACTTGACTTTTTGGTTAAAAGATTCTGAAAATTTTGTGGGAAGACACAAGAAAGGGCACAATTGAGAGAGTTGTATTAAGATGAGAGCTTCGGTTTTTTTGGAACTTCGAGTTTTTACATATACATTTACGCTGGTCTCCGTTGTGCAGCTAATGTTCTATGAAGCAAATGTTAATGTTAAAGGTGCATTTTCGTATCCCTTTGCTGTAATGTTTATCCAAGTTATGATATTCTCGATTTTGGAAAACGATTCATTTAAAAATTAATGTTTGAGCAAATTCAAAGGCGTTTGGGAGCATCTTACCTTGTCCTAGTAGACCTAGTAGAGTGATGTATCTGATGTGAATTTACGGAAGGTCGAGTTCACAAAATATTATAGTCAAGGGAATGAGTCATTTCATCTTAAATATTAACATGATGAAGTCATGTTTGAATTGTGTTTATCTTTTGTACTTTTAATGTCTATTAATATTAGGAGATATAGACAAAAAATTTAAACAATTTTATGTTTAATATATAAATTAACACAGTATGGAGGGGTTTATTCCCATGATTGCGTACAATTTTATTCCCTTGCGTAATGCAATGACATAATATTGGATAAGCTATTTTGCGTTCTCAAAATTGCAGTGCTCGGCTATCAAATTCAGATCTTTTACAGTGGGGAATGAAGGGAAGATTGTTCTTATCAACTGGTAAAATAAAGTATTTCTTGACACCAAAAATTTGATAATGGTTACATGATATCCATTATAACGAGTTTGGATAAACATAAGTTTTTTTTTAACGCAAATCACATTTAAAATGTGGTTTTGTCTAACATTATAGGAAAAACTCAAGTTTTAAATTTAAATTGAGTGGATTAAATATATTTAGTTTGGGATTTATCGATAGTTAAAGGGAAAAAATTAGAAGTGTATCATGATTTTCTTCTATCATTGAGAAGAGAGAGCAACATGTTTCTTTTTTCTTTTTTAATCTGAATACCTTTGAAAAAAATAATTTTATTTATTTATCTGTCTATTTATAAGTTTAAGATACTATTAATCACTGTTGTTTTTAATCATATCTTTCTTTTCATTTATTTTTAATTATTTTACATCGTAAGTGAAAGACATAACAGTGGAAGTCATTAGATATTTAACAATAATTTTGATATAAGCATAGATATTAATTATATTCTTTTGTCCGTGTTATCTTCTCATATGGATAAATGAAAAGAAAACAAAAGCATAAATCAATTAGTTTTTGCCCTATTTTTATTAAGATCTAAAGGACAACGTGTTAAAGGATAATCATTCATGCTTTTATTTTTAAAATATCACTTTTTAACATTTGAGTCATTATATATGCCAAAATAAATTAGTGTATAAATTAGGAGGACAGCGTAATTATACAATTCAAACCTCGGCAAAGGAAATAAAATTTACCCATACCAAATTTAAATTTTTGGCCGTCAGTATCAATATTGTTTGTGTTTTCTTGGGGCCAAAAAAACGAAAAGTAAAAAATGTCTTATTTTTAGTGATAGCTTAGTAGTGATAATTATAAGAACACAAACATTATGATAAGGTTTAAATTTTGTATCTATAAATTTTCACATCCTCCTCCAATAACAAAAATAAGTGTGTTTGAAATTCTAGATAGACATATTGAAATTGTAAGAATATTGTTTCTATCATTTTTTGAATAGAAAAAACTATTTTTTTTTAATTTAATTAAGCAAATATTTAAAGTTTCTAATATTTTTTAGGTATAATTATTCTTGTCGTTCTTTAATTTTAGGATAAAATTCACTTTTATTTTTTAACTTTTTTTTTTTCATTTTAGTCTTTTAACTTTTCAAAAAATTTTAAATAAGTCTTTTTGTGCCACGTGTACTATGCGTTATTGTTCATCGTCTTTTTTCTTATATCTCCAATCTTGTCTCAGACACATTTTTTCTTCCTTCTCTCTTTTATCTTCATCTTCTTATACTCAAAACTTTATCTTCTTGTCATTAACACTAAATATTCACCCTCAAATTTCAAACTATAAATAACTAACTTTATAATACCCATTTTTCATAAAATTCTAATCATCTTGTTTTCCTCTTCTCTAATAGAAAATTTATATCCTTATTAACTTCGAGTTTGAATACTCATTTGCATTTGTTTTGTGGTTTGTTGTAATGACGTATGTCCAGCGCTGATGGTCATAGGGGAGTTAAAATTGCAGTCGTCAATGATAGAGACACAGGAAAATCCACACTCATAGTCGCAATTGCATCATATTCTTTCCTTGAGTCTATTGTGCTTCCCCCAACTCATTTACCCCAACTCATATTGTATTGTGTCTAAAATACATTCAGATCAAAGATAAAATTCTGAAAAGAGAAGAGGAAAACATGGCTAGGGAAGGCTGTTCTTTGACTTTGAATGTGAATTTTTTGGCAAGAAAATTGATATTTGAGTATAAGAATATGAAAATAAAAGAAAAAAGGAAGAAGAAAAGGTGTTGGAGACAAGATCGGAGATATGAGTAAGAAGACGATGAACATTAACGGATAGTATGCGCGGCATAAAACGACAAAACTTTTTAAAAGAGTTAGGGTCTTTAACAAAAAAAAATCTATTTTAAATTTTTTGAAAAGTTAGAAGACTAAAATGAACCTAAAAAAAGTTAGAGGATAAAAGTAAATTTTATTCTAAAGTTAAGTGCCAAAATAAGTAATTTTACCTATTTTTTATAATAAAAAAATCATTCTAATGAATATAGGGTGGAAATGAGGCAGATTAAGCTAGTTTTTTTTGTATAGTTTGATTTTATAATATTTCTCAAAATTAAGACATGAGTCTAATTTATTTATTAAATATAGGTTATTTTTAAATATTTGATAAAGTCTAAAAATTTATTTAAAACTTATTTGATGTAAAAATACCTTTTAAACATGTAAACAAATTATTATTATTATTATTTGCTAATAACAGGGGCTGAACAGCTAACAAACAAAATCTATACAGTAGACTTAGGAAAAATAGAATTATAAGAGTCCAAACTTAAAAAAAAAAAAGGGAGGGGGATCAATAAAATGTGAAGAGGGAGAAAGGAGTTCTAAGCCTAACTTTGCAAGAAAATTAGCAAAGGCATTAGCCTCTCTATAGACATGAGACAGCTAACAAAACTAACAACTTTTAAAGCATCTCTAATTTTACATATTAAAAAAAATAAAGGATGGGAAGTTGGCTACAACCTTAAGATGAGGGAGATAGTCTCTTTGGAATCTAACTCAATCCACAATACAACTATCATGAACATTCCTAACTAGGCCCCCACAGACGGCAATGCCAGAAGTTTTAGAGATAGCACCATTAACATTTAGGTATTGAGTTTAAAAGTTAAAAAATTACTTTTAAATACATTTGAGGTACAAATTAATATGTAGACATTGAGTTTAAAGCTTTAAAGAGACTATCAATTATCAAACACAACTTTAATACATAATAGTAAAATATTTTTCTTGATAACAAATTGTTATGGTTAAAAAATTATCATTGGCTTAAATTTGATAATTTTTAAATTTTTTTAAAAATCATAAATAAATTACAGACGTCAAAACTAATGTGAAGTAGATCATATATTTTTTATGAATAATCTTCCTTTCTCATTAATATTAGTGTGTTTATTTTATAATATTTTTAATGAATTCATGAGGAAAAAAATAATTGAGGTAAAAAATTAATTTATATTTAAGAATTGTATTTTAATAGTAAATTAGGGAGAATGAATTTTTTTGGTTAATAAATAGAATATAGAATTGATTTTGGATAAGTCTCACACTTAAAACTAATTCTTGTTAACAGAAAAACTAAAATCTTTTACTTCTCTCAGATCGATTATGTAATCAATTTTTTATTTTTTCACTAAAAAAACGATTATACTCACTCCATAATTAAAATCTAAAAATAAAAAATAAAAATTCGAACATCCAATGTTACTGCAGTTTCACTGTGAAAGTCAACTATAATGTTTTTAGTCAACCAATCCGTATATGTATATGCTATCCAAGCACTCATAGCCATTCCACTATTCACTGCATTTTCTCTCCATCAAATAAACAAAAGCTTTGTCGTAAAGAGGAATGCAAATAAGAAATATGCCAGCAAATCTAGTATCTATTAGTATTAATTTTTAAAAGGTTTTCTTATTGTTCCTTTCTTTCCCCTATTTCTCGTTCTTGTAAATCTATTCTTTCTAAACACACCACTCCAAAAATATTTTATGGGAATAAAATCCCACGTGCGTTGGGAAAGATTTTTTTTCAAAAAATTGTACGTCAACGTTCACCCTAAACTTATAAAAAGGTTAAAGAAACAAATGAAATAGCGTGCATCAAGATTTGAGTATAACAATGAGGCCTATTGACTTTGTTCTTGCAGAAATTTTACAACACAAACTTTTTAATACTTCAAGGAAATTCTATAGTAGTTCTACTAAATAATCACCTAGGACTTTTTATTAGTGAAATTGGTATAAAAATTTACATAATTATAAAATAACGTAAAAAAGGAAATAATATTAAACAATACGATAACACCTTTCATTAAAATAATTGACAAGCTAGTGGTAATAATGGCCTCCGAAACGCGTCAAAAGGATTGTGGTAGAACTTTATTATTAATTAAGATAATTTCGTAAAAATAAAATTTAGTTTTATTATATAATTTATAATATATTTCTGACTTAATTATATTTTTAGTTCGTAAAAAATATCTTTTAAAATACATTTTTAAAAAAAGTTAAAATTTAATCATGACTTAATCTATTGTTAATTATTTTTTGTTAAGTTTTCGAATACATTTCAAATATTGTTGAGTGAGTAACCTAAAATGACTGATGCACAAAATCCCATCCCCTAATCTGCGCTTTCTAAGCTCATATTTTTCAAGCTTGAGAATTTATAACCTTGTGATTTCTCCAACAATAGCTATGTCTTCCCCAAACATTATCCAATACCACAAGAATCTTCTGTTCCTGTCTAATCCTCTGTCGCAACCACTCACCCTTTCCAACTCAGTGAACTCATCAAACTTCAAACCCAACCCATCAACAATTTCAGCTCTAATCCTCCTCACATCAGGAGAATTACTCGCAGTAGCCACCACCACCACCACCACCACATCAAATACACCATCCTTCTTAGCTTCCCATGCTAATTGCTTTACCAATGCACTCTTTCCCACTCCAGCCATCCCATACACCCCAACAATGTGAACCACCACCATCCTTCAACTCCTTCATTATTTCCTTCATAGTCACTGTTCTAGATTCCAATTCCACATAATCTCTAGCAGCTAAACCCACATTGCATTTCAAAGCACAACGATAAGAAACCCTATCAAATATTTCTTTCTTTGAAAAGGGAGGATCTAGAGACTGCAAAATCTAGTACTATTTAACTTATTTTATAAAGACTTATTTCAAAGGGTACATTGTAGATGTTAGGGAGGAAATAGCTAAAATACTGCAGTGCAATTCAAAACCGGGTGCATGATAGATATTGAAAATATAATTAAGTTTAAATTTAAATATTAATTTTTTTATTAATATAAAATTTCGAATTTAAATTAAAAAGTTATAACTCAATTCATTAATTGCTGAATCATGATCTTCTTTCGCAAGAAAGCACATGCTATATTTTATGCCATTATTATGAGCTAGTTGGAAGACGGAAGCTACCCCCATATTTGGAAATAAAATAGGCTTGGCAGCACTCAAGAACATGCCATTGTAACTTAGAAGAGGAAGCAAAGGAGGGAAGGCAATGTCAGGAATCTTGAGTCTCCCTATCATAGATCTGTCCTCACCTGATCATCATTCCGCGGCCATTTCCATCCGTCAGGTTCTTCCCTCCTCACAACCCTTCTGTTTTGTGTAATTCATTTCATAATCACATGTGGAATACATCAAATTCATCTTTACATTATAAGCATAAATCAATTTTTAATCTTTAAAATTACAAAAAAAATCATTTTAGTTTTTATTATTGTGTTTTTAAAACATCAAAATGACTGCTATTTTATATTTTTAGAAATTAAAATGACCATTGTTTGATAATTTTCAAGATTAAAACGACATTTTTTACAATTCTAAGGGAAAATTTTGACGTACTGCTCTGTCCTAAACACTATTATACACTGAATTTAGTTAAATAACGAAAAAAAGTTCACTGTGTTAATAGGCTTGCATTGAGCATGGTTTCTTCTACCTTGTGAACCACGGGGTGGAGAAAGACTTGGTGACAGCGTTTGATGAGAGTAAGAGATTCTTCTCACTTCCACTGGAAGAGAAAATGAAGTTGGCACGCAAGGAAAGTAGAGGTTACACTCCTCTAGATCCCACATTGGGCTCCAAAGGTGAATTTTCTTTTTGATGTCAATTTTAGGCACTCTTTTTGGTTGACAACTTTTAATTGATTCTTTTACTTTTAGAATAAATTTTTAGAAAGTGATATGGTAAATGCTGAAAACTATTTTATGTCCTTTAGAAATGGTTCATTTTCTAGAAAGAAGTAAAACTTCTGATCATTGCTAATAATCATCAGGTGATTCAAAAGAGAGCTATTATATTGGTTCTTTAGCAGATTCAACAAGTGTTAATCTGAATCAATGGCCTTCAGAAGGTATGGTACTATGGTATAACTATCCTAAATTCTATGAATTTCGTTGCATATTATATGAACAATTTGTGGCTGCGTGAGCTTTATTTGAGATATTTATTTTGCGAGGACATTTCAGAATTACTTAGAAATTGGAGACATTCAATGGAATCCTTATATTGGAAACTCTTGTAAGTTGTATTATCCACAGTTTGTTTGTTGCTTTTTCCCCTATGCTATCAAATATGTATTGTGAATTGTTCATAACAGCAAAATAAAATAGCAACATATCTCTGTTCTTTTCGGGATTTTTTAAAAACTTTTTGTTATTTCTAATAAATTTAGAATTTATTCTTGTTTATGTGCCACAGTGGAGTTGGGAAAAAGCTGTTCTCTCTAATTGCCCTTTCCTTGAATGTGGATGAAGATTTCTTTGAGAAGATAGGTGCCATAAACAAACCATCAGCTTTTCTTCGGCTTTTGCGCTACCCAGGTTTAGTAGCATTGACTTTGCTTAACCATCTTAGTTACACTTAGAACATAGAATTCTAATTCAAAGAAACTACAATTCTGGTTGCAATTATAGATTTTTCTTAGATTTTTCTGTGATTCTTTATGATTATTCTATTCCTTCGTAATTGGCATAGGGCCAAGGCTTTCAATTTTCAAACCAATTATCCAATGGAATTTTCTTCCTATTGATAATATATGCTTTCCTACTTCATTAGGTGACATGGGGCCCCATGAAGAGATATGCTCTGCTCATTCAGATTTTGGTGCGCTCACCCTCCTAATGACAGATGGAGTTCCAGGACTACAGGTTCCCAACGGTGTACTTTATAAAATTGGGATGAGATATAATTTTTTTAACATGTATTCAAAAGCATATGATAACAATTTATAAGTAATAAATATTTATACAAATTATAAAATAGAATATATTAAAAATCACATGATAACATTGAATAATATAAGTTTTTAAAAATATTATTTATTAATTTCATAGTGAGTGTTTATGTAAGAAAAATCATATTTCTTAAGTTTAGAATTCTTGTATTCAAAGCCATTAAATTTAATATTTTATATTTTCAGATCTGCCGAGACAAGTCAAAGGAACCACGAGTCTGGTTGGATGTGTCTCACATGGAGGGGTGAGTTCATAGTTTGTGTAGAATTTATTGAATCGTTGAAGCCCTTTGAATCTCATTTAATAGAGTTATCTATTAGAAACTGTTAAAGTTCTATTAAAAATGTATATTGTTAAATGTTTTTAATTAATTTTTTTTAAATTGGAGCGAATTAGAGTAATTTTTATATTTTAAATTTATTTTTAATAAAATATTAATATTTAAAAAAAAAATCAATTTGCATAAACAGGGGCTTTATTGTAAACATTGGGGACTTGATGGAAAGGTGGACAAATTGTTTATACCGGTAAATCTCATTATCAATTGACTTAAAGAGATTTATTTGTTTGTTTCTCTTACAAATAATATATGAAATTCTCAATTTGTGTCATTAATTTGTAGGTCAACACTGCACCGGGTCAAACGAACAGGAAATGAACGCTACTCGGTAACAATTTTTTACTTTCTTAAGTTGCTTTATTTTATTTTTTTCCATTTTGTTTATTGAATAATGTTTTATGTGGAGTAGTTTATATATAATTTTTTTAAATTATTTTAAGTATCTATAAGTAAAATTTTTTAATAAAAAATATATATTTATTATATTAAAGTTATAAAAATATAATAAATATTTTTTAAAATAAAATTTTACTATTTATATATTTAAACTCAACTCTATATATCGATGTTAGTAAAATAAAAAAAATTATATATTTTTATTAGATATTATTAAGTTTTGGATAAAAATTAAATTTTTGAAAAATTTACTAAAATTAAAGTTTTTTTAATTGTTTTTTTAGAATTTATTTTTTATTTTTTAAAAAAATAAAAAGACGTATTATACGATAAAATTATTAGACCATTGAAAAAATTTCATGGTATAGTGTATACTAGACTAATTTAATAGTCAAGTTTTGAATTACTCATTATGATTGGTTGATAAAATATTTTAATAATTTAATTATTGAAAATTTTACTTCAATGATTATTAATATTAGACTAATAGTGTCACAACTAAATTACTATTTTAAGACATTATTAGAGTAGAGTAACACATCGTGTCATAGAGCAACTATGTGCAACAAATGAGAGAATTAACGTGTATAACACTATTATAATGTATATAATTTATATCTCAAATCAAACATTCTAATAAATCATAAAGCGAATCTCACAAATTATTCTAGTCCAACTAATATGTCCTACTATAATGGGTCCTTCCTCACTTTTAACTCAATGTAAACGTGAATAATTAGTTGTGTCAACTTCAATGAAAAGGAATTCCAATGCACATCATTCTTACCAACTTATAATTTATAACACTTGTGAACATCATCACTATTAAGAGAAGTCCTTGAGGAATTTGTTCTTTACTTCTCAATCAAATTTCAAATTAATACATGATGACATGATTCTAAACTAAATCGACCACATCGAAAGAAATAAGACATACCTTAAATATATTATGCAGGGGCATGAGTGAAATATAGAAGTACATGTATATAATTATAGAAGAACGATAGTTTAAATATATCCATCCGAACTAAACATTCCACAAGTGTGAATCAAAAGTAACCCCTGACGTGTAGTATCTTAAAATAAACAAAAAAGAACTCATCCTACTAGCAGTATTCAGACCATAACTCAAACATAATTACATATAGTACTCCAATGGGAGGTAGTCTTTGTTGGGGTCAGACTCCATTCCATCAGAGGAAGGCGGATCATCTCTTATTTGGGGCGAGAAAGAAGGTGGCAGATCATCATCACTGTCTATCCATTCGACAGTAAAGGGTGGTGAACGAGATGTAGGCTGTGCTCGTAGTGGTGACGGACATCTCATGGAAGGTATTGCTTTGTTTGAGGGTAGAGGAGGAGCCCTCACAATGTGATGGGGTATAGGTCAAACAAAAGATTCAACAACCTCTATGTCTTTTCATTTGGGTTCAGGAATAGAGTTTGAGCGAGAAGTGAATGGGGGTTCAAAACTCATAGGGGCCTTACCCTTGTTAGGGTTCTTAGGAGGTTCAAGGGGTAATGTTTGGTTAGGTGATACTACTGGAGGAGTGCAAGGGAGGAGTATAGTGATGCATCCTTCATTTGGTGGGGGTACAGAAGTATCGGCAAAAAGATAGTCACTTTAGTATGTTTTCCAGCCATCATCGGTGACGGGTCCCAGACTCATGTTGATCATCCCTTGAAAGATAAGTCGATGAGTTTAAGGGTCATAAGTTCATGTCTCTTTCTCCCTGTTGTTGACTCTCCAAATTGCTGCTTGCTGAGGGTCCATCTATCATACCACCACACAAAGCATAAAAAGGGAAACCAAGGAAGAAGAAAAAGGCAGAAAGGTAAGTCCATCACAGAGAGAAGTGAATCATTGATAGAATTAAAGTGAACATAAGAAAGAAGGTAAAGAGAATTTTCATTCCAAGGATTGCACATCAAACATTACACAAATACATTAAAAGTTTAATACGAAGTTAAACAAATTCATGAGATGAAATGTATGTCACTAATAGATTTCACTCCCTCTTGATATCAACATCCCTCCAGTTGAGGTGATCGGAGGTCCTCATTCCTTATTAGCATAAGTGCACATTTCTTATTCATTCACCCTTATTCTTTAGGAATGAGCCTACCACGATATTCGGTAATGGATATCTATGTCAGGATTAGTTAGGTTTGCTTGGCGACGTGACCTGGCCGCGGTGAGCTATTCCATGCCATTGGATCATCCCCTTCTTCATTACCCCCAAGGTCCTTTCCTGAACCTGGATACAGGCATTCCCCAATTGTGTCATACTGTTACCTTGACTCTTCCTTCATTGTCATATCAGTTATGTATAAGACGTGGTTATATCACGCGACACTCAAGGTCTAGATAACTAATATATATATATATATATATATATATATATATATATATATATAACACAACAATCATGCTTTCTTTATTACTACAATTAGGTCCAAAATGAAAGTAAATAATATATGCACAATATCATCCCACAATGTGCACATTCTCAACGTTACAATCAAATCCAAATAGAGGTAATTAGCATATGCACATAATATTGATAAGTAGAATACATATCTTTAATATTACAGATTGCATTGAAAAAATGGAATATTGAGGTATTTGGAAATGTTGATAAGGTGATCTCTGATTTGACAATTGAGTTGAGCTTGATTGATGATAAAAATTCTGTGATAGAACTTTCCGATATGGAGAAGAAGCGTCAACAAATGTTGGTGGGTGATATTTGGAAGGTTAGGAAGAATAGAGAGAGTCTCATAGCCCAAAAAGCTCAGGTCAGATAGGGGAAAGAGAGTGATTTAAATACAAAGTTCTTTCATTTATGTGTTAATGGGAGGCGGCGACGAAATAATATACATTCGCTCCAAATTGGAGAGAGATGTGTCGAAGAGATTAATGAGATTAAAACAGGTGTGATGTCCTATTTTGCGGCTCATTTTAGTAGTAGAAGTTGGCTTCGACCTACTATTGATATTAATAATTTACCAAGAGTCTCTGTTCTACAAAATGAGGAGCTTGTTAATGCTTTTTCGGAGGAGGAAGTGGGAAAGATTTTGGAGTGTGAGGGTGATAAAAGTCTGGGGCCTGATGGTTTCAATTTTGTGTTTCTTAAGAGGTTTTGGGGAGTGATCAAGGAAGAAGTGATGGGTATGCTTACTGAATTTTGTAGAAATGGGAAGCTACCTAGGTCTTTATTATCTTATTTTGTAGCACTTGTGCCAAAAGTGTCTTACCCACAACAGATATATGATTTTCGGCCTATCTCATTTTTAGGTTGTCTTTATAAGATTGTTTCCAAGCTTTTGGCAAATAGGTTGAAAGGAGTTTTGGATTCAATAATTTCAGAAGAACAATCAGCCTTCATCCCGGGAAGGAACATGTTAGATAGTGTACTTGTGGCTAATGAAGCAGTTGATTATGTGCGGAGGTATAATAAGAGGTGTTTTGTGTTAAAGCTTGATTATGAGAAGGCGTATGATTCGATAGAGTGTGAATATCTTTTGTTTATGTTACGTAGCTTTGGATTTTCAGACAAATGGGTCAGTTGGATGGAAGCTTGTGTGTGGGGGGGAAGCCTATCAGCTTTGATTAATGGTTGTCCTACATTGGAGGTTCATATTGAGTGAGGCCTAAAACAGGGGGATCCTCTTGCCCCTTTTCTTTTTCTTGTGGCAGCGGAAGGGTTAAGAATTCTTATGCGGAAGGCAGTGACTTGTGGGTTGTTCTCTGGTGTGACGATTGGGGAAGGGGGACCAGATATTTCTTTGCTGCAGTTTGCGGATGACACATTGATTATGGGAGAGGCTTCGGTGCAAAATTTATGGACTTTGAAAGCAGTATTGCGTAGCTTTGAATTAATGTCAGGTATGAAAATTAACTTCCATAAATCGTTTGTATTGAGGATTAACACTGGTGATGACTTTGAAAACTTGGCTGTGGAGTTCCTACATTGTAAGATTGGTAGTTTCCCATTAAAGTATCTCGGGTTACAGGTAGGTGTTAACCCGAGAAAGCCTAGTGCATGGAAGGGTATGTTAGAGGCTCTTAAAAAGCGGTTAGCGTCATGGAAGCATAGGTATTTATCGATTGGAGGTAGGGTGACTTTGATTAATGTCGTTCTTAATTCTATGCCATTGCACTCGTTATCCTTTTTTAAGGTGCCGAAGTCGATAATAAAGGAAATTGTCACTATCCAACGGAATTTTTTATGGAAGGGTGTTAAGGATGGATCTAAAATCCCCTGGGTGAAATGGAAAACTGTATGTAGACCGCGGAAGAATGGTGGCTTGGGCATTAGGAATGTGCAGTGGTTTAATTGGGCGCTTCTTGGTAAATGGTTGTGGCGAGGTGTTAACTGTTCTAGTTCATTGTGGGTGCGGGTGTTAGAATCTAGATATGGAAGATTAGCTTCTTCTCTTCAGCATTCATCAGTTTACAACAGATATTCTTTGTGGTGGCGTGATTTGCTGGAGGTTATTCATCAAGGGAATTCATGGCTGGATGAGAAGTTTGATAGAAGTGTGGGTGCATGTTTACACACTCTTTTTTAGAGAGATAAGTGGGTAGGAGGGGTGCGATTGTGTGAAGCATTTCTGCGATTATTTGCAGTAGCGAGAAATGCTGAATCACGTGTATTGGAGAATAGTTTTCATGATGGCACTAGATGGGTTTGGAATGTTAGTTGGCGAAGAGGACTCTTTCAACATGAGATCTCGAGCTTTAATCTTTTGTTGGAGCTTGTGGATGGAGTTTCTATTAAGTTACTACAAGAAGATAAATGGGTATGGAGGGCAGATTCTTCAGGTTGTTATTCAGTGCAATCTGCGTATTCATGACTATTTGAACTTTTTGATGGTCCTAATAGTGTAGATCAGTGTACGGCAGATGCCTTGCAAAGGCTATGGAGGGGGAAGGTCCCTCTTAAGTGTCTGATTTTTTCTTGGCAATTGTTGTTGAATGCACTTCCTTGTAAAGGTTTACTGATTGATCGTGGTGTTCAAATTGATGATATAATTTGTTGTTTCTGTCATGGTTTGGAGGAACTTCCAACTCATTTATTTTTAACGTGCTCAGTTTCATCTCAAATCTGGTACTTTACTGCGCGTTGGCTTGGATTCTCACTGGTTTTGCCTTCAGATTTATCGACTCACTTGCTTTCTTGGGTTGGTGTTGGCTGTAGTAAAAGAGAAGAAATATACTTATTAATTATTTGGGTAAGTACAATGTGGTCTTTGTGGTTGCATAGAAATAGAATTATATTTTCCAATGGTGTTTTGGATGAGAGGGAAGTCCTAGATTCTATTATTCTGAGATCCTGGAAATGGTTATCACTTGTTAGTAAGGGAGAAGCTATTATGTTAGCTGATTGGTATTTGAACCCATGAAATTGTATCTGTCTTAATTTTGCATAAGTATATTTTTGCTTTTTATTTCTTCGAGTAAGTAATTTTTTTGTATATATGGATTTTGAGTTCCCCTTGAACTCTTTTTAATAAGATTTGTTTTGCCTATAAAAAAAAATCACTATCAAGACAACTTTAAGTTTTCAATAAGCGTACTCAATCTTATTCTTTTTAGTACAACAATATGTAATTTAAAATTTAACTTATATTATAATGTGGATTTGGTATTCTGTCTCTATACCATTTTTAATTTCCTATTTCCACATCACCTAGCTATGGTAATTTATATTTCAAGAGGGTAATTATTTTCAGTCAAATAATTTACTATTATCCACCCAATATAAGAATTTATTACACATACAATTATTCGAGACTGCAGGGATCCTTACATTAGGGAAAACCTTTACTTCTATTCGCCTAATTGCATAAGGAAAGTAAGAGAATAAAAAATAATTACCACAAAGTAGAGAACACCCTCAATATAAACAGAGCAATGCATTAATGTACTAATCGGTAAATACACATTTAGAAAGGTATCTCACTAAAACCTATAGTGGAGCTAAGAAATTTTCTCTCACATGATTTGGTATAGTGGCTTAATTCCAATAATAAAAGGGTGTTGTCATGAGTTGTGTTGGGAATTGGATATTATACAAAAGAAATCTAGTTAACAGAATTAAGAAAATCGATAAGGTCCTTCACGCACATAAACCATATTTTGGTCTCGATATAATGGGTATCTTTAAGGTAATAGGATAGTGAATTTGGAGTCAAGAAGCAGAGAAGTGATTTAGTCCTTAGTCATAAAGGAATCCCAATGTGACGAGCATTTTCACTCTCTTTTATCCCACATACATGTCATTAATTTTGGTTTATATGAGCAGAAAAGAGATTTTTAGAAGTTTATTAACTTACCTGCACCATTAAATAAATACAGATCGATATTATAAATATACAATATTACTACGAGATTCTCCTTTTAGTGGGTTTAATAGAAATATATGAAGAAGAACTTTGATTCTTTACATTATAATACAATCATTTCCATCACAGTTTAATCAAATATTCAGCCAATAACAACACACAAAGAATGAAAAGGTAAAAAATGAAGAGTGGTAGCAGCATGCAATACATGTTCCCTCACGACCACCCCTCCCTTATGCAACGTATTTCAAGAAGTTATCTTATTTGGCTCCATGAAAAATCATAAAGGGTATAGAGGACGCCATGCATGCAGTAAACAAACTCATCCGAATAATGTAAGATTAAGGGCACAAGCAAAACATTAACTTCACATGCAGTGACTTAACCAAACTAGGACTCCCCATACCTTTTCTTAGTCGTAGTAGGAAAAGACAAAATGGAAAGGTCTATTCTCGTGAGTGATGTCCTAGTCAAACAGATTGCAGTAGCTGATCAGGAGTATGAAGCATGACAAGTTTGAGCAAGAAGGAAAGGTAGTGAGGTGTAGTTTGAAGAAGAACACTTAAACTCTCCTTATCTCCTTTGCGTCTTCTTTAGATAACGTTTCTTCATGAAGAGAAAAATGAGACTAAGAGAGTAAATTTTCAATTTTTGTGTGCATAGTGAATGAAGGGATTTTTCTTTAGTTGCGTAGTAATGTTTCCTTTTTTTACATTAGGCGTCGATTCCCTTTAGTTATGAGTCATCACTCAAAGCAGCCATATAACCCACCATTAATTCAGTCACACATTCTCTCTCCTTCCACTTTGAGGTCTGCCCGAGGTGCTTCACCTTCTCCCACTAAGCATTTAAGTCCCTCGCGGTTTGCCAAAGTAATCACACAACGCAAGGTTGGTAATCGTTAGAAAAAAGTAGTATACTTAATGCCAAGGCGACTAACTAAAGGAGAGATAGTAAGTTGATACGGTTTAGGTGGGAAAGCATATGAAAATCCCGATAGTTGACGTAGCTGCACAACCTGCACCTTCTTTGGGGTGTCTAAATGCAAGTGATCAACTTTAATGACATGTAATTGGAGAGGAACAATCGGCACCCTCATCCTTCTTGGCTTCTTTTGAGGAATTAATGCAGGTGGCAAGAATAAATGTGGAGGAAGACTTCAAGGAATCGTTAAATGAAGCATGCAAGGCAATTATAATGAGGACTGATGCATGGATAGATAAAAGACTGGCATTTAATGTATTTTGGGAAGGTGAGAAGTCATACACGGATATAACGGCCATATCCTCGAGCGTTGTTCTCCCCAGGATACTTTGAAAGGTATTTTAAGTGAGTAATTAATACATAAAGATGTAACTTACACTTCCAATTTCATAGGATTGTAATTTGAAATGAATGGCCATGAATTTCACTAGAAGACGAAGCGTTTTTCCAAAATCTTTGAAGTATTTATCATAGTGGGAAAAGTAGCCATGCAAGACGGAGGGAAGACCATACGTCAATCCCCCTCCCCCCTTTTTTTAGCAAATGTGCCAACTAGAGGGATAAGATTAAAATTAAATACTCTGTAGTCCAAGCACCATTGAAACATTAAAAGTATATACTAGGGTACCTCTACAGCAACATACTAAAGCCAACTTATAGGGATGGCAAAAAGAAAAATCTAAACTAAATACAGTAATTCAAATGAGTAGAATTTTAAGGAATGGTTGAAAGAAAGAAGAAAAAAAAATAATACAATAACAACCATGTAAAATAATTAAAGTACTGACAACCTTATGTAAAGAAAATATTTTATTTCATTTTATTTTTAAAAGAAAGAGGGGAAAACGAGTAAGCGATAGAACATATTCAAGAATTAGTTAAGTTTTGGAGAATGTTACAACTAATAATCCTAAACATAGCACAAAAAGAATAATTCGATAACCCGATATCTTATAATCTCTTAGCAGTGGCTGCATGTGCACTCAGGAAACAGTAAGACATAGGATCTTTGTAGGACTTACTTGACTTGTTGTTCTCTCTCTTCCTTCCATGGTGTAGTGAGACAGAATTTTTCATCTCATACTATACCTAATAAGGTGTTTGTTTGATGTCTGATGTCATATATTATGAGAATCCTCTACACAAAAAGCCAAAATTTTGCAATTGTATTACTTCAGTGGCATTTTAATGAGGTATTTTTATTAGTTAACATGATTGGCTAATGAATTTCCTGTGAAACATGAATGACATTGTGTTAAAAATTACTATTTTGTAGATGGCATTATTCCTAGACCCACATCCTGATTGTGTCGTGCAATGCATTGAAAGTTGCTACAGTGAATCATCTCCTCCAAGGTATAAATAAATTTGTTATCTTCTTAGGATTTATATAACTTGATTCATTTAGGTAGACTAAAATGCACACAGCACAAAAAGATAATTGATTACTGTCCCCTGTTACATACCCTTCAAATTTTATTTCTACACACATGTTGACATTAACTTTTGTTCATGTTCACTGCAGATTCGCTCCAATCCGCAGCGGAGACTACATGGATGAGCGTTCTAGGATCTCACCAGTCTGATAAGGATTTAAAATGCTCCTTATATTGATATATTTAAAAGAGCTCATGCTTGTATATGTGGCTACAAACAAAAGTGTGTTAAGGGAATAGACTTTCTAAGTCAAAAGACCCTATTCAATTTGAAGTCATTGATGTGTATTATATCTCTTATCATGTAAGATGAACATGTTATTAATGTTTATGTGAGTTTATTTTGTTTGTTTTATTAGAAATAAATATGCATGTTTAAGATTCAATTTATTATGTACTTTATTCTAATTATAATAATAAAATATTATTTTTAATAATAATATTTATTCAATTTATTGCGATAATAATTTGTATGTGAATGATTATTTCTAATGTGACATTTTATGTTTTGCCTGATATAAATCATAACTCGATTGTATATATTTATTGTAATTTTTAAAGAGAAAGAGATACTCAAATAAATAAATTGTATGTTTGACATTGTAAGCTTGGTCACATTGGTGAGAAAAGGATCAACAAGTTATAATAAGAATATAATCTTGATAACTATGATTATGAATCATATTCAACTTGTAAATCTTGTTTCAAAGGAAAAATGACTAAATCTCCTTTTATTAGAATTGAAGAAAGAGTCTCTAGATTATTAGGATTAGTTTACATATATGTATATGGGCCAATGAAACTCAAGTCAAAGATGAATATTCTTATTTCACTAATAATATGTTTAATATGGTTTTTTTATACTTGATGAAACATAAAATCAAAATCATTTAAGATGTTTAAAAGATTTCGTAGTGAGATAAACATAAATTGAAAAAAGTATCAAGATGCTTAGATTTGATAGGGGTGGAGAATATCTTAGTGTTAATTTTATTGGTTATCTAAGAGAGAATAAAATTCTCTTAAAATGGATAGCTTTAGGAATACCACAACACAATGATGTGTCTGAAAGAAGAAATCGAACCTTATTAGATATGGTAAGATTTATGATGGGTTTTACTGATCTTTCAGAAAATTTATGTGGATATGGTTTAGATGCAACAACTTACTTGCTAAATAAAGTTTCTACAAAAATAGTCTCTATAACTCTATATGAGATATAGAAATGGTGTTAGTAGAATCTCAAACACACTATGCGGTTGTTATATTTATGTTGAGATTGCTAATGTGTAAACTTGAGATAAGGTCAAAAAAGTGTAAATTTAATGGTTATTCTAAGGGAATGCTGAGATATTATTTTTACCAACCTTCTAACCATAAAGTGTTTGTAGTTAGAGGAGCTACTTTTTTAGAAAAGAAATTTCTTGTAAGAGAAAGTCATAGTAAAGAAATTATGCTTGATGAAACTCAATTAGCCAATGAACTAACTTAGGAACATGAGATTGAAACTGAGAAACATTCCTTGATGTTCTAATTTCTAAAGTCAACACAAAGGTCATTACCTCCAACAAATGCGATTCAAGAACAAGTTAATAAACCATCTTAGAATAACTCAACAACTTACTAACCTAGTGCAACAACTTCCTAGAAGATGTATTTGAGTGCATTGTGTACTTGATAGATTAAACTTGGTGGTGCAAGATGACACTTCGAATGGGGTTTATCATAATGATCCCAAAAGCTATGAAAAGGCTATGCAAAGCTTGGATTGTAAGAAATGGCAAGAAGCTATAAAATCTGAAATGGAATCAATGAAGATCAACAAAATATGGACTTAGTTGAAGCATCAAAGGATAGAAAATCAAGTAGTTGTAAATGGGCTTTTTTACACAAATAAAAAAAAATATTATTTCCTAAATATCCTGAAAAGAAAAAAATTACATAAATGTCTTAAAAGTACATATAACAGAAGTCGATTTAAATCGACTTTCGTTTTGAAAATTTTTATACAAAAGTCGATTTAAATTAACTTCTATTATAAGTATAATTTTTTTTTACATAGAAGTCGATTTAAATCGACTTCCATTTTACTTTTAAAAATTTTTACACAAAAGTTGATTTAAATCGACTTTCATTCTGCTTGTAAAATTTTTTTACACATAAGTCGATTTAAATTGACTTCATTTTATTTTTAAATTTTTTATATAAAAATTAATTTAATTCAACTTTCATTCTGGTTTCAAATTTTATTTACACATGATTCAATTTAAATTAACTTTCACTCACACATGAATATGTTTTAGAAAGAAGTCAATTATAATTAATTTTGTATTGCATAATTAAAGTTGATTAGAAAGAAGTCTATTATAAATAAATAAAAATTTGTCATTTGATGATGAGAAAATTTTGAAATTAAGTGTAAAAATTAGACTGAGATGATAACATTCATTAGCGATTGCTTTGCACTTTTATTCTTAAACCTTACAACAAATTTTGATACAGTGACACAATGTGCTGCACACAATATGCATGATATGCTGAAAGGATATCACTCATTCCTTGTAACTTTTAGAGCTAATTTGATTGCATGATAACTATATGGGACGTTCAGTAAACAATTCCTTAGCTCAAGTCCTTAGAGATACCTAACTGGGAGCGAAGAAGGTTGAGGTGGAGACAAAGTCCCTTTGGAAGTATCAACGCAAGAAAAAGATAAGCCAAAAACGTGAAATAGAGGGATCCCATCTGACGGATGAGCTGCTGCTCCCTCCCTCGGTTAACTACCATTACCCGGTTAACTACCACTACCTGGTCTTCCCTTTTAATTGATAGCTTCCGCTAGAGCACTTGCTTATGATGAATCCCTTAAGCTTTTACTATCTTTTTCCTTATTCTGACGGATGAGTTGCTCCCTCCTTTGGTTAACTACCACTACCCGGTCTTCTCTTTTAATTGATAGCTTTCGCTGGAGTACTTGCCTTTATGATGAATCCCTTGAGCTTTTACTATCTTTTTCCTTATTCTTGCTAGCCGTCGACTGTATGGTTTCCTGTCTTGCTCTTGTCGAGCTCCAGCTCGATCCCTATCATGCAATCAAATTAGCTCTAGAAGCTACAAGGAATGAGTGACATCTCTTTAGCATATCATGCATATTATGTGGAGCACATTATGTCATTGTATTAAAATTTGTTGTAAGGTTTAAGAATAAAAGTGCAAAGCGATTGCTAATGAATGTTATCATCTCACTCTAATTTTCACACTTAATTTCAAAATTTTCTTATCTTTAAATGACAAATTTTATTTATTTATAATAGATTTCTTTTTAATTAACTTTAATTATGTATTACAAAGTTAATTATAATCGATTTCTTTCTAAAACATATTCATGTGTAAGTGAAAGTTAATTTAAATTGACTCATGTATAAACAAAATTTGAAATCAAAATGAAAGTTGAATTAAATTAATTTTTATATAAAAAATTTAAAAATAAAATAGAATTCAATTTAAATTGACTTCTGTGTAAAAAAATTTCAAAAGCAAAATAGAAGTCGATTTAAATCGACTTCTATGTAAAAATAATTAAACATATAATAGAAGTCGATTTAAATCAACTTCTGTGTAAAAAAAATTCAAAAGCAAAATGGAACTCGATTTAAATCGACTTCTATGTAAAAAAATTATACCTATAATAGAAGTCAATTTAAATCTTCTGTGTAAAAATTTTTAAAACGAAAGTCGATTTAAATCGACTTCTGTTATATGTACTTTTAGAACATTTATATAATTTTTTTCTTTTCAAGATATTTAAGGAATAATAATTTTTTTTATTTATGTAAAAAAGCCTTGTCAATGGGTTTACAAGAAAAAGATTGGAATAGACGAAAAGATTGAGACTCACAACACTCGCCTAATTGCTAAGGGTTATCGTTCAAAAGAAGGTGTAGATTATGATGAATCTTTCTTTCTTATGGCAATACTTAAATTAACTTGGATTCTAGTTGCCATAGCATCATACTATGATTATGAAATATGATAAATTAATGTGAAAATGACTTACCTTGAGTTAAAAAAAGATGTATACATGACACAACTTGAGGGATTCACATTCTTGTTTGATCATAATAAAGTTTGTAAGTTACAACGATCCATTAATGAATTAAAACAAGCTTCAAGAAATTGGAACATTCATTTCAACAAAAATGAAAAGTTTGATTTGTTAGATGTGAGGAAGAATCTTGTGTCTACCAAATTTTAGTGGTGGCATAATCATTTCCTTGGTCATACTCATATGTGGATGACATATTACTAATTGGGAATGATATATCAATAATACAAAATACAAAAATTTGACTATCAAAACAGTTTTTCATGAAAAATTTGGAGGAGACAACTTATATTCTAAGAATAAAAATTTATAGATCTAAATCTAAAAAGCTCCTTGAGCTCTTCCAATCTATATATATACTATCTTAAAAACTATAACATGGAAAGCTCTAGGAGAAGTTATTTGTCAATAGGAATGAGAGTTATTATTAGTAGAAAGGATTGTCCTAAGACTCAAAAAAAAAGATCGCGTGACTAGAGTACCATATTCTAATGCAGTAGGAGCTATCATGCATACCATAATTTGTACACGTCCTGATGTTACTTATGCACTCGTTGTAGCTAGTCGATATCAAGTAAGTTCTAGTGAAAAACATTGAAAAATGGTTAAAATCATTTTTAAGTACTTGAAAAGAACTAAAGACTAATTTCTCATCTATGGAGATTTCAAATTGAAACTAAGGAGACATTTATGCAAGTTTTGCATCAAATAAAGATGATAGACATTAAAAAAAAGGTGTTTTATAGGTACAATTGGAAAATACGAATGAAATAAATGAACAATTGATTCTCAAGATTCAATTTACCATGTACTTCATTTTATTTATAATAGTAAAGTATTTTTATTTTTTTATTTTATATGCACTGTTTTGATAAAATAGTTTATCTGATAAAGGTACTTGATTAAAATTAAAGACTTGTTATTATAATAAAAATTATACAAATAAAAAATATGTCTCTTATAATTTAATATAAATTATTCTTAATCATAAAATTATTATAAATAAAATATTAATAATTCAAATAAATTAATGTATATATAATAATATTTATTAGATGAATATTAATAGATCTTATTTATTAATTTATATATAATGATGCACAAATATATTATCACTTGGATTATTTTAATTTTTAAGTTGTTGTAAGCTAACAACGGAATGTAACAATATTGTTACGTGCAAATAGCTCAAAAATATATATTGTATACTAGTGGTTTTTATTTTATTTTATTTTTGTAAAATTAGTTTCTTGAATGTGCTATAAAATTAATTTTAGGCTTAGGAATAGAAACAGGTCAAGTAGCCTGACAGGAGTTTGAGGCCTAACCTTGCCTTTTTAATAAACAAATAATGCTTAAATTTTTTTTAAGATCTGTTTAAATAAATAGGTCAAGTCTGAACTGTTTATAAAGTCTGGTAGGCTGATCTGTTTATATATATATATATATATATATATATATAATTTAAAAATTAGTATTTAAAAGCCTGTTTACGACCTGTTTATTGCATATTTGCTGGCATAAACCTAATGGCCTATTACGAGATTTTTTTACAGGATATTTTGTTAACAAGCAAGACTTAGACTAAATAATTATACTATAAGCTTAGTCTATTTAGAGTAAGGTCTAACCTATCTTAACTTGTTTTTATACATACTTACGCTGCATATTTAAAAAGTATATTTATTACTTTCTCTTCCTTTTCTTTCAAAGGAGTATTCAAAATTTCAAAATATATTTCTAACTTGATTTCATACATAAAAGTAGCTTGTAATAAAAATTAGTCTCAATATAAATATATGTAGTCTTTATAATATTAAAAAAATTACGCTTGAAAAGGTGATCAAAATGTACAATTTTACTGTTTCATCATATTTAATATTATTTAAATACAAAATAGATATTTTTATTCCACCGTATGTGTTATGAACACCTTTTTTTTTAACATGTCCTTGGCACAAAACTGGTCGAAGATCATGAAAGTTTATATTCTTATTGTGTATAAAATAATGATATATCAATATATAACGTCTTAATCTATATAATGATGATACGTCATAACAAACAATATCGTTTAGCTTAGTGGATGTTAATTTAACTTTATTAATGATATTCTTATGATCCATAAAAAATTAACTTGAACTGAATTTCTTACATTAAAGTCACTTTAGCTTTTGAACGAATAAAATAAGTGTTAATCTGTTAGGAAAGGTAACACTTACTTGGCTGAATATGGTTATACAACAGATTTTGGGTACCGTGTGTTGTACTTTGGCTCAGCAAAGAGTATAAATTAAAATTTTAAAGGAAGTTGATAAGTAATAATTGTGATCTAGCAAATTAGATTTTGCAGTATAATGGTAGCAGAAAAAAAATATCAATTGTTATTTTAGTTTTTATAAAAATAAATAAATTTATAATTTAGATAGACTGTATAATTAATCTTAATAATTAATTTAAATGATTCGTTTGTACTTAGATATCTATAATTGATTAAGTTATTGTGTATCAAAGTATACAACTTAATTTAAAAATTAGATTATTATTGACAAATTTTATTATAAATGTTATGTCTTTAATAAATAAATTTATTATTTTATTATAATTATCTTTTTTTAACTTACCGATCCAACATAGAAATCATTTAATGCTGAAGAAAGTTAACGGAACAGATTAATATATATATTACATTAATACAAGAGAAACAAACTTAATATTTTCTAACTACACTCGTTCCTGTTTAAAGATTATCAGTACCCATAAATTATAGAAATAATACTTAAATCGAAATATTTTTCTCACACTTTTAAATTTATTCAGTCTATTTATTTTCTTCAATTCTCATGAGGTTTTCACTTCTCTCACTTCATTGACAAAAAGTAATGTAAACAATGGCTAATAGGATTTTAAAAAAGAAAAAAATTGAGAGAGTTTTTCAATCTTTACACTTAATGCCCTAGCTAGGACCAAGATTTGGCTCACACCACTATTTCCCCTTTGTTTATGTTTCCTTCGTGTCAGGTGCTTAATTGTGGTTTGGATCCTTAGCCAATAGCATGCATATATTTAGTAGAGACATTCTCATTCTTTTTCCCCTTTAATAGGTGGGTTCAACTATGATCATGCACCACTCGTTGATTGCCTATGGACCTGAGAGCAGTTGAGTCGTTTAGAAAGTTTGCAATATATATATATATAATAACCGAAAATATCAATGCATACTAATTTTCTTTAAAAATTATAAATTTAATTTTTGTAATATAATTTTTATAAAAAACATTATAGAATTAGTCTTTTGTTGTTTAATACATATTGAATGTATTAAATGAAAAAAAAATTAAAATAAAAAATAAAACATAAATAAAAATAAGATTTCGTTAAGCTCAACTTTTGAAATTCATAAATAAAATTTTTTTATAAAAAAAATATATAATTATTATATTAAAATTATAAAAATATAATAAATATTTTTTTAATAAAATTTTTTTATTATTATTCGCTTATTTTCAACTTTAAAAGTTGAAGTTAATAAAATTTATAAAAATATATCAAATAAATGATTCACTGAAAAAATAAAAATAAAATAAAAATAATTTTTTTTAACCAAGAAAACTAAAAACATGAAAAAAAAACTATCTAACTTATAATGAATTTAAAGAATAAGAAAAAAAAATTTATGTCACAAGAGATTTATAATTTTGACCACTCACATAATTATGAATAAGGCTTAAATATATTATTAGTTTTTATAAATATAAGTCATTTGTGATAAATTTTTATAGAATTTTTTTTTATTATATAATTACTTAAAAATTAAAAATTTCAAATATTTTTTAATCAATTCTTTTATATTAAATGCTGAGTAGTCAAATTGAAAGTCAACTGTAATTTATTTTATAATATTTTATTATTTAAAATTAATATTTATGAAAAAAACCTTAACATATTTTAAAAATTTATAAAAATATCTTCTCCTCTTTTTCCCCTTCTTCAGCTTCAACACCTGTAACGTTGGTGGCAGCCCCTTAGACAGTCACCAACCTCTGTTTCCTAAGCAATTGAAGCCTGCAAAGACATGAGAAATTGCAAAACATAAATGCATCTTATCGTGTTACTAATACTAAGACAGATTCATCTTACGCTATAAAAGAAAAGGGATAGTTGAAAGAAAGAGAAGGTACCTGCAAGTGGAAGTGAAAGGCAGTGTTCGAGATAGCTTCAACATTTTGGAATACTCTCTCTTCTTCTCTTCACTTGCTACCACAATTCTTACAAGATGGGGTTTTATATTTCTGCTGTCTTTGCGAAATTGAAATTGAAAATATTCCGCTCTATTACCATTAATGTACCTTTCTTCAAATGACGTCGTCTTCTATGAATTTTTGTTTTGGTTCAAACTCACCCAGTCCAAGCCCAACCATATCGGATCCACTCCTTCTGCATAATTCCTCCCTCCCTCACTCAAATCACTGTGTGAAAATAAACAGATTTTCGAACACGTTGCTTAGTGCTTGTTAACGAAAAGTGGCTTTAAATTGACCACACACTGACTCAGGTGGGATGAAGGTTAGGGGTGGGTTTGGAAGTTGGGGGATGGGAGAGAGCGGGAATGGGAGAGGAAGGAGAGGCACTGGGGGAAGTTAGTGGTGGGGGTGGAGGGGTTGAGGAAGAGGGAGTAAACGTGAAGGTCATGGTGAAGGGGTGAAGGTTGGGGGTGGGTTTGAAAGTTGGGGAATTCGAAGGGAGTGGGAGAGGGACTGCAGGGAGGTTAAAGGTGAGGGTGGAGGAGTTGAGGAGGAGGGAGTGGAAGTGAAGGTTAGGGTTAAGGTGAGAAAAGTGAGGCTTCCGCTCGCTGGTTGGAAAGGGGGGAGATTAGAGAGGAAGAAGAAAATTTATTTTGTAAATATATATAGTATATTAAAGATTGTTTAAAATATTTATTTTAAATAATAAAACATTATAAAATAAATAATATAGAATTAATACGTGATTAACAGCAACGCAACTCAGTATTTAAAAGAGAGAAATTAACAGTAAAAATTAAATTTTAAATTTTTAAGATTTCAAATATCTTAAAAAAAATATATAAAAATTTATCACAAAATAATCTATATTTAACCAATAACGTGAATAATTAACATTGGCCGGGACCCTAGACCCGGACCACCCGGAGGATCATGATAAAACCAGGTTGTTCAAAACAAAAGTGTGTGCCAGTCAACGACACTTTTTTATTTTTTATTTTTCTTTTCACACGTTTAAAATACAAAAGCCACGAAGAATATGCGTTAATCGCTGTTGTCACGGTCATTGGTTATACAGAAGAGAAGATAATAAACTAAAACAGAGTCTTCATTCTTCCCATTTCAAAGTCCAAACCAAACCCAAAAACTGCGTTCTTCGAGAGGAAGGCGAAAATGGAAGGCGTTGATCACTTGGCTTTCGAGAGGAACAAGGCGCAGTTCGATGTTGACGAGATGAAGATCGTTTGGGCTGGTTCCCGTGAAGCCTTTGAACTTTCCGATCGGATTTCTCGCCTTGTTGCCAGCGATCCGGTGAGTTCACCTCTTCAATTTCTAATTTTGTGATACTCTTGATCGTTCAATTTCCACGCTTGTTCAAAATCAAAGTGTTCAATTATAAGATTGAACTTTATTTCCTTCTGTTTCTGTCTTATATGTCGCGCAGTCCTACTTTTTACCTACTGTTTTCGCTTTTCATATCTGTTAATGTTAAATTATCTATATTTAAAATTAATTATTGCTTTTTTCCATTGAACAAACTTTTTGTGTGAATAGTGTAGTGGACTTTATGAAAGGGGTGTTAATCATGTTACTCATCATTTATCTACAAAAGACAATAACTTGTGAAGTTGTCAAGGGGTAGTTAATGATTCACTTCACAAATCAGTGTTCAACTTCAACATGTAAAGTGGCTCGCTTCTGTTGCCTGCACTTTTGCTATTAGTTTGGCGATAGATGATGATTATGCATTTTTTGAAAATGAAACGTTGACTAGTTGTCTGTTGTTTCCAGGCATTTAGAAAGGATAACAGAACCATGCTTGATAGAAAGGAGTTATTTAAAAACACTTTGAGAAAAGCAGCTTATGCTTGGAAAAGGATCATCGACCTCCGTCTTAACGGTGAGTTTTCTGCTCTTGGTGTAGTTTGCATTTGGTTTCCAATCGTTTTTTTAAACCTATGGATGCAATTATTTGCCTATTACATTTTTACTGTTCTCTATAATTTTGTAAGTTGCATTCTTACAGAACAGGAAGCTTCTAGGCTCAGATCCTTTGTGGATGAACCTGCATTTACGGATCTTCATTGGGTATAATTCAATTTCTTTTCCTCATTCCATTTTTAACTTCCATGTCATATTTAATAAGTATGTGGATGTGTGTGTGTGTGAGAGAGAGAGAGAGATATCAAAGAAATACAAAATTGACCTGGTATTTTCACAGTCCCTGAAATATATGTTGGGGAAGAGGGATGGCATTGCTTTATTTACTAAATTGAAGGTATCATATTCTTTTGCAGGGAATGTTTTTGCCTGCTATCAAAGGACAAGGCACTGATGAACAGCAGCAAAAATGGTTGCCTCTAGCTTATAAGATGCAAATAATTGGTTGCTATGCCCAAACTGAACTTGGTCATGGGTCCAATGTTCAAGGGCTAGAAACAACTGCAACATTTGATGCTAAAACAGATGAGTTTGTTATCCATAGCCCCACCTTGACTTCAAGTAAAGTGAGTGAACTGGGTGATGGTCTTTTCAATTTTTATTTTTTTTGAGATTATACAATCTTACAGTTTTACTGAGTGCTTTAACAAGTACATTCAGGGAAAACAGCTGTGTTTCTACTTTGTACTTGTATTAGAGGGTATTTGGATATATTATCACGCTTCCTGACACTGATTTAAACAGTGGTGGCCTGGTGGATTGGGTAAAATATCGACGCATGCTGTTGTCTATGCCCGTCTAATTACTGATGGTCAAGACCACGGAGTGCATGGTAATTACCAAATTTTGGCAATCCAAATTTCTGGTGTTGGATTCAGACGTAAATTAATTAACTATCTATCCAATTTGAAGGTTTCATTGTCCAGCTGCGGAGCTTGGATGATCACTTTCCTCTTCGTGGCATTACTATTGGTGATATTGGTATGAAATTTGGAAACGGAGCATATAACACCATGGATAATGGAGTTCTAAAATTTGACCATGTACGAATTCCAAGGAATCAAATGTTAATGAGGTAGTTCTATTTACACATTTGTCCCTTTTCTAGCCTTGTCAGAGGAAAATTAAATGATCCATGTTGGGTGTTTTATGGTATATAATATATAATACATGAATGATCTGTGGGGGTTAAGTGGCAAAAATTTAGAGCACAGGGCAATACATTAAAAAATTGGGTAATCGAACTCTGATAATAATATCAACTACTCAACAACAAGAGCTTTTAGTATCATTATCTCCAACGAATTTGCTGGTGGATTGTTGAAGGTATTTTTGTCCATGAATTGAGAATACCCTAATAATCATACACTGAAACTGCAGCATCATTAATTGCCATATTTCCAGTTAAATGCAATTGTTAATTGGTTTTCTTTTAGATTGTTTACATAGGTAACTAAATAGAAAAGATAGTTCAGAATAGCCAACTGCAATTGACAAAACAGAAACAGGAATAGATGGTTGTGGCTATACTGTGTAGAACTCATCACTACTTGTTCATGGTGAGGGGAAGAGGAGCATTTGGTATAAAGCAAGCAAACAATATCTTAACTTTTATAATACTTTTAGCTGTCACAAGGTGCTTGTCAATTTTTCCCAATGGGAAATACTAGCAACTAACCCTTGTTTCCTACACACTCTATTAACTGGGTGAATTTCATGTTAATCCCACTAAAGAGAGTGGGCCCAGGCTTTTAGTGGTATCCGCATGAAATTTATCCAATAATAGAGAATGAGTTGAAAAAAAATGTGTAAAAGAGTATGTGGCTAACATTGCTCTTTTGCCAGTAGATTCATGGGATGACTGTTCTGTTTTTCAAATCTATCAGGGTTTCACAGGTTACCAGAGAAGGAAAATATATGCACTCCAGTGTTCCAAGACAATTAGTCTATGGTACTATGGTATATGTGAGACAAACAATTGTATCTGATGCATCAACTGCTTTGTCTCGAGCAGTTTGCATTGCTACAAGATATAGTGCTGTTCGAAGACAGTTTGGATCTCATAATGGAGGTCCAGAAACACAGGTAAGTTTTAAAAGCCACCATAGATATGCGTGTTGTTGCTGGTTGATAAGTCTTATTTTATTGAGATATGCTAACAGAAGAGTTTTGTTATATCCTCCTAATAATCTTCTTGGTAATCTTCCTACTACTTTTTAAGTAAGTATTAAATGAAAATATTCATTTATTATTATGTTTAAAACATAAAACATATTAAATACTTTCTTCATTTAGCAATTAGGAGGATTTATAGGAATAAAAAGTAGGAGTATTTTGAATTATTTGCTAATGAAAATCTCTATTTTTTGAAAAATAAGTAATTTTGCTGGAAAACAATAAAAAGGAGGCTAAACCCAAATTACATATTATGATTGAAAAATAAGTGAAATTACTTTAATGCTATCATGTTGCTATTGTCTAATTGGGGAAGTATTGCTTTTGGCCAATATATTTGTTTTGAATGATTTATAAGGAAGGTTGATTAGATTCCTTCTCATCTTGTGCATTAAATTTAATCATATGGTTTTAAAATGTGTATTTATATCTATTGACCAGTAGAAAAAATGCAGATTTGTATTAGTTTGATAGCAAGTTTAATGGGTGTCTTACTTTGTGCTTTTGCATTTCCATTAGGTGATTGATTACAAAACACAGCAGGCTAGGCTCTTCCCTTTGCTGGCTTCTGCTTATGCTTTTAGATTTGTTGGTGAGTGGCTGAAATGGCTTTATATGGACGTGACACAAAGATTGCAAGCTAATGATTTTTCAACATTGCCTGAGGCTCATGCGTGCACTGCTGGATTGAAATCCTTGACAACTGCAGCAACTGCTGTATGTTATTACTTCTGCAGTTCTGTTCATTTCTATGCTGACTGGTCTTAGTTGTAATTCATTATTAAGCTGCTTGAGATAGCATTTAAAATATGATTTTTGCGATAAATGGATAAAATAGTATTTCTATTTATTCATCAAAAGAGACATATTTTGTGAAACTAAAATTGATTTTTCTTGATATCTAACATAATGGATGAAAGGATCCTTTTAGAATGATAAGGTATATGAAAAATCCTTAGCAGCAACTTGTGCAAGATGTTTTGCTTTTGCATAGGAAAAAATCCTGAAAAAGAACACAATGATTCTAATCATTTTAATTTAAACACATAATTTTGCTCAAAGAAAGCCACTCAAAATTATTATATATTAATATATTTTTTACTATTCTTAAAAATATGATCTAATTTCTGTAAGAAATTTTATACATATTTTAAAATTTAAAAATGTGCTTTATGCAAATACAAACAAACAAGTCCTTACAATCAATATTCTTCAATCATTACAATCTGGCATCCTGCTAGTGTCAGTTTAAATAAATAACAGGATATGGCATAGCATGTTGAAGTTTATATACATTGAGAGCTCAATTATACGTTGTATTTATTATGTATTTCTGGTTTCCCGTCTAAAAAATTATTTAGTTTCCTGAATTGCAGTACACTAATCTATTACCATTACTTTATCATTCATGTCATCTATATGATGTGTCTGTGGGATAATTGACTGGATGAATAATCTTTGCATTTAAATGGTCGTAGTGTTGTTGTCATTATCATTGTGCTACTATCCTTTTATGATATCCTAATCTGGTCTTCCCTTTTTAACCCTGAACATTTAATGTTCAATTAAAGTTAAATTAACTTATTTTATAGGATGCAATTGAAGAATGCCGTAAACTATGTGGTGGTCATGGTTACCTTTGTAGCAGTGGTCTCCCTGAGTTATTTGCAGTTTATGTTCCAGCCTGCACATATGAAGGAGACAATACTGTGCTGCTTTTACAGGTTTGTTAAATGTTAAATATATGTTATAATATTATTTCATTTACTCTTTACTAAGTCCTTCCAGCTATTAATAGGATTTAAAGTGCAGCATGACAAAGCCATTTGTTTAGAGCTAGGTTTTTGTTTGTGTTTGACATGCTTTCATACATTTTTTAGAACACCTATGTAATGGAGTAAAGTCCTTACATTTGTTGGTTTTGGATCTAAAATATATTGAGTTATATTATTGGAAAAAAAAAAAAAGGATTTTGGGATTGTCAAATCTGTAGTATGTTACAAAAGTAAGAAAGTTCTAAAAGGATAGAAATGAGTGAAATAATGATTCTTAATTTTGCTTTCTATTTCCATGTGGCCGAGTCTAAACTTCATGCCTGATATATGTCTCTACTCATGTCCTTTCTACATTTCTGTGCCTCATATTACATAACCGTGCATTCTGCCTTAGGAGGGTTTTTAGGAATAGTTAGGTTGTTTTGACAACTTCCAGAAAATCTCATATAGGTGGCAAGGCATCTCATGAAGAGTATTTCTCATCTGGGCTCTGGAAATAAGCCTGTTGGTACTACAGCTTATATGGCTCGACTGGAACAACTGATGCAATATCGCTCTGATGTTAAAAAAGGTATGGTCAAATTGAAGATTGTGCAAACTCTAACCATATTAATTTTATGATATCCAAATCAATATTATTATAGTCAATAATACCAACCATGCTTGCGTCCTTTATGAGTTGACGTATTATACTTGTTTTGATTCCTTTCAGCTGAGGATTGGTTGAAGCCTAATGTAGTGCTGGAAGCTTTTGAAGCTAGGGCTGCTAGGATGTCTGTTGCTTGTGCTCAAAATCTTAGCAAGTTCACTAATCCTGAAGAGGGTAAATGATTCAATCTTATTTAAGTCACAAGCTGTATCCACTTGTCCTTTGTAGTTGATTTTATTCCTTGGCGTGTGATGGTGGAGAACAGGGCTGGGAAGTGGTTTTCATTGACTGATCTGTGTCACTGGAAAGATGCTAAAACATAGAAATCACCTGACTACGGACATGATACTGGTTTCTTACATGTTGAAAGAATAAATTGAATATGCAGTTCTGTTAAAAATTGCGTCTCTTTCACACATTCTGTTTGTATAGATGACATACAATGTAAATTTTATACTAATAATAAAATGGCACATTTTAAACAAACAAGTGTTTTAAAGGTCCAGAAATTAAAAAAGAAAAGTCATTATCATTAAAAATATACATAGATCACCTCAAGATGTACAAAATTTCTTGAAACTGAATGTTGATTTATTATTGTAATTTGTGCGACATGGTTGGATATTGTTATGTTGTTTGCTAATGGCTTTCCTGACAGCAGGTTTTCAGGAGCTCTCACCTGATTTAGTTGAGGCAGCGGTTGCACATTGCCAGCTAATTGTTGTTTCCAAGTGAGCTTCTTCCAAATTTTACATGTTGGTTGTTTCCTTATACACTATACGGTTGCATCTCTTGATTTACAATATTACTGCATTGTTCCGGGGAAAGAATGAATCTATTATATTTAATCTAGAGAAACACATAATATTAGTCACCTTTCCTCTTCCTTTTTATTTTATTTTTATTGTGTGTGTGTGTCAATGTCTATAGTGGAAATATAGCATGATGGGCTTTCTTTCATGTGAAGGCACCATAGTGAAAGGAGTCCAAATAAAACATACAACTTTTTTTTGTTATATTAGGAGATTAGAATTCTTTATTTGAAACTAGGATTTGCTTGAATATTCTACATACAAATTGATCAAACCCTATGTTTTTTAGATTTATTGAGAAGTTGCAGCAAAGTATACCTGGAAAGGGTGTGAAACAGCAATTAGAAGCTCTTTGCAGCATTTATGCCTTGTTTCTTCTTCATAAGCATCTGGGTGAATTTCTTTCCACTGGCTGCATTAACCCAAAACAAGGATCACTTGCAGATGAGCAGCTGAGAAACTTGTACTCACAGGTTTGCCCTAAAGATTTCAAGTCAATAGCTTCTTCTGGTATTTATATCTTAATTATTATATGAAGGCTGATGATTTTAAGCGTGGTTAGGTTCGTCCAAATGCAATTGCACTCGTTGATGCATTTAATTACACTGATCACTACCTTGGTTCGATTCTTGGGCGTTATGATGGAAATGTGTATCCGCAGTTGTACGATGAGGCATGGAAGGATCCTTTGAATGATTCAATTATTCCTGATGGCTTTAAAGAGTATGTTCAACCTATGCTTAAGCAACAACTACGTAATGCTAGACTCTAGTTGATTTTATAGCTATGCTGTTTTGTATCTAAGAAATTTATCAGCACTATCGTGGTTTACAAGTGTCAATAAATTTATCACAAGGATAAATAAATTTATAGTTCTTAATATAAGATATTTTATTAAATTATAGAAGTATTTATTATTTCCTTTTTCATATCTTCTCATATAAATATTAAACCTTTTTATTTTTTAGCAATTAATATGATAATAAAGTTTGACTTTAAATAAAGATAAAGTTAAATTATTATAATTAATTTTAAAAATTTTAATGCATAACCAATATTAATTACATTTTTTAAAATTTGTGTAATGTAATTGAAATGATCTTATTAAAAGAACTAGAAAGAGTAGTATATGCATAAAATTATGGTAATACATGATGAAGTATGCTTAATAACAAAATTTTTATCTCAACATATTCTTCTAAGTATATTTTTAATATGCTTTTTGTAATTGATTTATATTTTAAAAAATAAATACTTTATAAAAGTTGATTATATTTTAAATTTTATAAAAATGATTAATTATATAAGTGTATTAAAGAGTTTATTGTTAAAAATTTTTTATAGGACCAGTATATGTAGGATAATGTTTTGTAACAACAAAATGGGACAATAAATTTATAAAAAATTAAAAAAAGAGAGAGACAACAAAAAATTATTATCTTTAATTTTGGAGTATAATTATCCTAATAATTTTTTTCTTGATTACATTTTGTTTATTAATTTATTTAACAAATACTATACTAAAAATAAAGTATATTATTTTTTGACTAAATTAGTAATTAATTTTATCAAATATTTTATTTAATAAATTTAACTTAATTTTTTAATTAAAATAAATTCATTAACTTTTAACTAAATTGTAACTTTTTCTAATAATAAATTCTTTATAGCAATCAACATCTTTCTCAATCAGTTAATAAATATTGGTCATATACATATTTGGTGATTGATTTTAAATAATTAAAAAATTTGTTTACAAATATAAATATATAATAAATATTGATTCTTTAATAAAATTATTATTTTAAGAACTTTGCTATATCCTCTTACTTTATAAAGTAAGTTCATTTATTATTATATTGAAAACATAAAATACATTAAATACTTTTTTGTTAATAATTAGAAAGATTTGTAAGAATAAAGAGTAGGAAGATTTAGAATTATTCCTATTTTAAATACTTAATTTAATCTTAAGATGTTAGTAGAATTGTTAATTAATTTCAGGATATTCTTTTCCTTTTTGGACTTTTTAGATGTTTCTCGGCAGACAATGAGTGGTTGCTATAGTGATTGCGCTTCACAAATAAATATTTATTATACCCATTAACTAGTCAGCCATCATATCAACCAAAAATTAATAATCGATATTAGAATTAATGAGACCATCAACGCATGTAGTGATAGAGATGTTGCGATGTAGGGGAATCACTAAAGGGGGCTGCTATCCAAACAAATAATGCACACCTTGCCAACTAATTTGGGTAATATCAGATCTAATTCAAACAAGAACTTTTTATATTTGGAATATTCTTGATATAACCTTAAATGGTATAATTGATTATACAAAGATAATGCTGTTTATAATTGTTAAAAAAATTCCATGAAAAATATTGTAATGATAATTTTAAAACAACTTTAATAATATAAAGTAATTTATTTTGACACACAAAATTTTAGTCAATATTATAAAATAAAAAAGATAAATTTTAAGAGTGTGTTGTTATTATATTCTCATAATTAATTTTGATAGTGAAATTTAGTGTTTGACATGAGATTGTCGAGCTCATTACTCATACCAAATTTCCTGCCTTTGTGAATATTAAAAATTTAGCTTAAAAAACAACTGAAATCAGCATTTTGAGATGCACTGCACTTGTCCCGAGCGACTTGCGTCCTTACCTTCTTCCCTTGCGTATAGAGAGACAGATTTGGTCGTGAGATTTTTGACATTTACGTCGACATGCTTTATAATTTGACCAGTTTTATATTTGAATTATTAAAATTTGAAAAAGTATGTAATGTTATATATAAAAATATATATGTTTCTATTTGACACATACACAATTAACAACATGAAAAGCATCCTAAAGAGGAAGAATTTTCTAACGGTGCAACTTGGCAATCGGTGACAATGAGTGGTGTGATCAGTATATATTGATACCGAATGGAGCCACCAACTGAGCCTTCATACTTTACCCACTCGTTCAATTTGATCAAGACTATTATATATATGACAAGACGAACAGAGAGAAATAATGGTAGTAAAACATAATTTTTATATAATGAAAAATAAAAAGTAAATATAAAAACCAAACCTTCCTTTTGAAAGAACCAGTACTGTGAAGTTGTATGCCGTATTTTGTATGTCAAATACAGTGAAATTGTCTAAACTTTCTTGTTTTTCGTAGTGATTCGACATCTTCATCTTCGATTGAACTATTTTAGGGACTTCTTCCTTCTGAATACAGTTTCTTGAAAATTGTCCTTTTTAAACATTTCTTTTGTTATTTCCTCGCAATTCCTTATTCATGCTTACAGGTAAACAATTTCTTTAGGCTATAATTGAAATACATATAAAATTTTATTATTTAAATAGACGAAATAATTTATGTTCTTGCTAAAATTATCCTTAATTGATATAAAAAGGCACGTGAGAAACGGATCATAAAATAAAATGATGACCATAGGGGTCCGTATTCTTTCTTTTTCTTTAGTTTTCTTTGTCTCCATTTTTAATTTTCGGGGGACAGCGGATGAGGAAACGGACATGGACAGTGTGACACCTAATCTTTCACTTAAACATCAATTATGAAACAGAGAGATTCCACTTGCGATCCAAGAGCCACATGAGGCACTATGTCATTGGAAGGGCATGAAAAACTGCGGTAACGCCAAGAAATGAACATCAATCAATCACTGCTTAAAAATAACACATTTTAATTTGCATGAAGTGAAGATATTACTAAAATGAATGTTAGTGTAGAAAAGAACGTCAGTGAGTTATAGTGACTATTGCTGTACAAGACTTTGTTTGATGTAATTATATCCACAGTAAATTATGTGTTATTCACTTCAACTTTGCTTTCTGTGTTAATTAATTTATAGAAAGAGAAATTTGTTAATTTCTAAATTAATAAATTGCGCAGATCACCGGTCTTCGTTATTCTTTTTCATTTATATAAACAAATTAACATATATAAAAAATGACCCAGCTTTTTCTACTGAAAGCTAGTTGTCCTTCTTTGTTAATGATATAGATTTAGATAATTAAAAAACAACCCCCCCCCCCCCCCCAACCCCCCTTCTCTAAAAAAAGAGCATTTAACCCTAAAAAGTGACTATCGCTACCTCTCCTTTCATGATTAAAATCAACTCTCAAAATCTTTTAGCGTTAACCCTAAAAAACAAAAAATTGTTCTTAACAAAATTATTACTTATAGGTTTTTCTACAAGGGGGAAAACAGAGTTGATACGTAACGATTTTTGTTGCACACCCAAAATGCCAAAAAAGAAAAAGAATGGAGAGAGAGAGAGAGAGAGAAGAAGAAGAATATAACGCCAACAATGCAACTGTTTCTCTTTTGCAAATGGACCCATTTCGTAATGTGAAAAAATGTAGATAGCACCTTAGCTCAACTGAAGCCAGCGCTATTTGAAGCTACCTCCTCTACTCTATTTCCATTCACTCCACTTCCACTACTTTTCACACCTCACCCCAATAACATGGATTCAGAAGTGAGAATTGAGAATAACAACAAGAATATGAAAAAGAGAGGCAGTGATGGGAAGCACCCAACGTATCGAGGGGTACGCATGAGACACTGGGGAAAATGGGTATCAGAAATAAGAGAGCCAAGAAAAAAGTCCAGAATTTGGCTTGGCACTTTTTCCACGCCAGAGATGGCGGCTCGAGCCCATGATGTTGCGGCTCTCACCATCAAAGGCTCCAGCGCTTTCCTCAATTTCCCCGAACTAGCCTCACACCTTCCACGCCCACTCACCACTTCCCCTAAAGACATCCAAGCCGCCGCCGCCCAAGCAGCTCAATTCAATTACCACCACCAAACCAAAACCTGTTATCAAGCCCAAGCCCAAGCCCAGGCCCAAGAATCCTCGACCGACGATGATGACACGTTCTTCGACCTCCCTGATCTTTTGCTCGACTCAAGTAATTGTGCAGGTGAGTTTCATTACTCCGCGCCGTGGCTCGTGGCCGGAGCTGAACTTCTAGACACGTGTCTCCGGCTGGAAGAGCCTCCTTTCCCTTGGGAGTCTTACTAAATTTGTAAAATTAAAAATGCTACTTTGCTAGCTTGTTTAAAAATTGTGTTTATATTTTTGTAAATTAAAAATAATTATTCGGTTTAAGTTAAATTAATATATTTACTTTGAAAATATTTTTGATTGGGCTGCATTTTTTCTTCCTTAGCCGCTATAATAATACATGTACGATTTATTTAGTTTGCGTCCAATATTCGCGCGTTTTTGTACTTTCGGGGTAGTCTTGTAGAAGTTGATTGCTGAGTAAAAAAATTACTTTTTAATAAATATATTTTTTACATTTGATAAATTTTTAAATAAAAAATAAATAGGGGTTTGACCAAACAATTTGTAAGTTCAAAATTAAATGTGTTAAACCCATGGGTCCAGCACTCCAATCCAAAATTTAAAATTTGCTTAGAACTCAATCATTCAGGGCCGTATTATCTTGTCAATAAATATGATTTCGTCGATTATTACTATTTAGTATTTACCAAGAGAAAACGAGTAGAAGGCTTGATCGCCAATCTAAAATTTTATCTGATTTTATTAATATCATCAATTCTGAGTTGATTTTAAATATATAGAAATAATAAATTGTATTATTTTATGTAATAATTATTTATTTTGAATGCAAATATACTTTTAAATACTTAAAACTATTTTTTCAAAAATCTTTTTGTTTCACAGAAAGATATGTTATATGTACAGTCATTGGACAATTGGCACTCTGAGGTACAATCAAACCAACCTTTTTACACATGCGTGCACTTGCTTGATCGTCTTATCCGCTCTTCTCTTTTTTATTATCGATTTATTTTATAAAAGCATATACGACAAAAAATTTGTTTATAAAAGCATATGAATAGATTTCTTTTTCTTTATCTTTTGCATTCCCTTATATTATGGTTTTTGTATAATTTAAATTTTCTATTTTTTAATTATTATAATTAAGTTATTCTATTTAGAGGAACTGGACAGATTTGATATGCAAATATTTAAATTTGAGAATTTTCAATTTTGAAAATATATTTTTTATGAATTTTGAGTTGAAGAGAAGTTTAAAATAACTTAATGAGTTTATTTCATAAAAGATTTAAGGGCAAAATTGATAAATCAAAAGTTTGAGATAAAAAATACCGCAAAAGAAAATTAACTGTAACAAATAAAAATGCTAGAAGACTTAATTACAATAATTAAAAATTAAGAGACTAATGGTACTTTCACTGTGCCAAAAAACAGAAATTTCTATCAATCCTTGAAGGCTATCGTTCAGCGCAAAAAAAGCAAAAAACAAATCATCAATTTTATTTAAAAATGCTTATTTTTAATTTTTAAATATAAATGATAATAAAAAATAACTCAAATGAATAAGTTTTATAGAACCAGAGATTTACAAAACAATTTAAAATTCCAAAGAATAAAATGACTGACTAATATGATTGCAATAATTTAGAGGTTTATTTTATTAAAAATAAAAAATTATTATAATTACATGTAACCATTTTTTTATTTGTTATACCACCACCTTTTTTTTAATAATCCGTTATACCATCACTTTCAAATCAATGTCAATACCAAAGTCGTATTATAACAATCGTTATACTTACCAAAAAGTGATACAAGTGACAAGGTCACTTAACTTGGCATTTTCCAGCACACACGCACATTAATTTAACTTTTTGGGAGAACTATTAAAATAATATTGTTTTAAATTTAAGTTCATTTTTTAAAATTTTATTATTTGTCGTATTAACTTATATCGGGTTCTTAATTAATCAATAGCTATACCAACAACGGTGAAGATTAAAAGTGTTTAATTATTGCTTCAATTATTTGATTCCATTATTCATTTTAATTTAGTGATTCCTTTGTCTTACCCTTCCAACAAGTTTACATTTAACGATAAAAAGAAAAATGTTTGTTTATCTTGAATTTAACCCTTTTTTTTTTAAACAAAATATATATTATTAAAGAAAATTTAAGAGGAACTCAAAATTTATATATATAAAGAAAAAAATTAATACTTATTCAAAAAATAAAATCTAGAAACATACTTATGTAAAGTTAAGGCGGAAACAATTTCATGGATTCAGATACCAATCTGCTAACAAACAAATTTCTCTTTTACTAACAAGTGATAGTCATTTCCAAGACCTTAGAATAATAGAATCTATGACTTCTTTTTCATCCAAAATACTATTAAAAAATATTATTCTATTTTTATGTAACTACAAAGATCACACTGTACTTACTCAAATAATTAATAAACACATCCTTTCTTGCTTAAAACAAAAACACTTCTTGCTTAGGTGAAAGGTAATTATAAATGATAATTAGAATTGAGTATAACTAAAATTTGCAAACATTATTTATAATGAGAAGAAATATTTACTTAAAAAGTGTATTTTCAGTTATAAATAGTTATAAAAAAAAAAGTTATAGAGTAAGCGTGAATTATGGGAACCATTTTAACACCCACTTCTTCTATACTTGTATATATAATTTAATATATTAACTTTTAAATAAAAAAATTACATGTACAAATAAATTGAGGATAATTTATTCTTACATTAATAGTATAAAATATTTTTGTGTTATTTATATTTTAATAACTGCATCCAATCTTTAAAATGTTTTATAAGAATCCTAACTTATAAGCATATTGTACTTGAAAAATGACACTTGAGCATTGTTAAATTTTTTATAATTAATTTTAATAGTAAAATAACATCATTATTTTATTAACTTGCCAATTAAGGTATATTAAAATGTTTTATTTAACTTAAATATAAGTAAAATTTGAGTATTTAAGTAATTAAGGAATATGTATATGTTAAGGAGTGACAAAATAGGTTTATCTTAATGAACTGAGCCATTTTAACCCTTTTAAAATGGTGTTATTGATAAAAACAAAGTTATCAATAACCATGTATTGGATTTTAAATATTCGTAATTTTATTATTTTGTATTTTATCTCCAGGTTAATTTGTCAATTAGTTATAAAATGTGAGTTTTAGAGAGCGATGATGAGAAAATGATGTAGCCCTTTTGATTAGAATTATATCCTAAAACGAGACATAACTAAGATTTGAAATCAAATTTATGAGGATTATAAGGTTGTAAAGGGATAGCAAGCACAACCAAATATTTTGAGGAACTTGTAATATGGTGTTGTGTAAAACAAAATTTCATGAGGGCTAACATTGTTAAGGTTTGGTGTAGACAATATATTAATAAGAGATGTAGCAGTAAGAAAAGCTTTTTCCCAAAAGCTTAAAAGAAGTGAGGCTTGAGCTAAAAGAGTAAGACTCATCTCAGTAATATGTCTATGTTTACGTTCGGACTTCCATTTTATTGGTGAGTGTGTAGGCAAGATAGTCTATGAATAATGCTATTTTGTGTTAAGTAAGGAGAAAATTTAAGGAACTCTTTTGCATTATCAGATTGAATGGGCTTTGAGCTTAGTTCCAAGTTGTTTTTCAGCAAGGGTTTTAAATTGTAAAAATGTAGATATAGCTTGAGACTTGTATTGTAAAAGATAGACTTAACTATATTTAGAAAAGACATCAAGAAACACAATATAGTATCTATTGTCATTGGTGGAAGCAATAGGAGAAGGCTCCCAAATGTCAGTAAACATAAGCTCCAAAGGCTTAGAGTATACAGTTGTAGATTGTACAAAAGGTAATTGATGTACTTTCCCTAAACAACAAGAATGACAATTAAGACCGGTACTTGTATTAAGTAATTTGACATTTATCTAAAACGGATTTGACAATTTTGGATGAGGGATGACCAAGTCTTACATGCCATAACTAAAAATTCCTAAGGGAAGAATCCTGAACAGAAAGAGCATGAGTAGAATCTGTGATAGCTTGATAAGCAGAATAGGAAGGAGTGGTCTTGAAGCTTGGAAAAACATATAGGCATTGCTGAAACCTACATTGCAGATTGATTTGGTTGGTATCCTTTGTTTTGACATTGCAAAAGTCAAGAAAAAATTCAAAATATACATGATTGTCCCTAGCAAATTTGGATACACTCAATAGGTTTTTAGTGATAGAAGGTACATGAAGTAATTGATTTAAGATAAAATGTTTAGAATTGTTTGGCATATACAGTTCAGAATAACTAATATTTTAAATTTTTAAACCTGCTCCATTACCAATTTTGACAACGTCTGAGTCTTGATTGGAGGATTTAGCTCAGAGATTAGCTTCATTATTGGTCATATGATGTGAGACCCCACTATCAGGATACCATAAAGGATCTTGAACAGTTGATAGAATAGTAATACTTCCTTGATCAGAATAGACTGATGCACTAGAATGAAATTGTGAGGTATTAGCTTGTGGAGGTTGACGAAAGTCCTGATTAAACCTCTACCAACAATTAATAGCCACATGCCCAAATTTTTCACAGATTTGACACTATGGTTTAGAATTATTCCAATTGTTCTGATTGGATTGAAACCAATTGTTCTTACCAAAACTTCTTCCTAATGTATTTCTTCCTCCTCTGTAGTTATTGAAGCTACCTCTATTATTATTCCTTCCTCCATGACCATAGTTAGCACCACGGGTATATTATTGTTCTCCTCTTCCTCTTCCAATATTGCCAATTTGAGAATTTACTGTCGCAACATTAGCTTGAACAAAATTATGTTCAGTCTTTCGGTGTTTGTCAAACCTTTCTTCTCGTGCTAATAACAATGCCTCAATATCATCCACTGAGTAAGGATCCAAGTAGGATGTAATAAATGTGATAAAAGAATCAAATTTTTCTGGGAGTCCATCAAGAATGGCCTCAATATGATCCTCTTCAGAAATTGGTGAATCAATAGAAGCTAATAAATCTACAATCTTTTTAATTGAAAGAAGATATTATGTTATCGTACGATCTTTCTTTGACATACGTAATTATAGCTTCAGTTTCTTGATCTTTGCCTGTGTTTGGGATGCAAAATAAGTCTCCAAACGCTTTCATATCTGATGAGTGCGGACTAACCTAACTATTTT